CGACAAAGGTACCTCTACCTATCGATGAGATAAGAAACGAGACATTCCCTTCCATTGTTTGACCATCAATATCGCAACTCTCCAAAAACCAAACGCTCTGCAACCTTTTCACGTTCAACTTGACAGGTCTCATCGGACAAGAACATTGTGAGATGATCTTGAAGCCAGCAGAGCCGCCGCAGCCTCCAACCTTCTGTTACACAAACCTCCGTCAGTTGTCCGACTCGGGTGGAGATCGACGTCATCGTTTCACGGCTGCTTCTGGCATGCGCATAAATGGGTCTCTCAAACTTCCATTCAACCAGCAACCTTCTTCCGGCTCTGGTTCCTGACCGAGAAAACAACATAGGCCAAGGACCCCCAGGTCCTGTGCGGTGAGTAGGTAGATGGCGTGGGTGGCTCGGGACGGGTAGCATCCGGCCAAGCCGCGCTAGTCGCCTCAGTCGAATCTAGCGATCCAAGATGCCATCAAGCTGCCATCGACGACAAAGGCATAACTTTTCGGACTTGGCTGTCCTTCTCTTTCTTCGAGTTACCCTACCTAGTCTTACGCGCGACTCAGACGGGTGACAGGAAGGACCCCCACGGCAAGATACAATACCGAAGGAAAAGACGTTTACTCAGTCAGTAGCAGTACGGAACTTTTACAAGAAACTTGCAAAGGAAACGAGGCGAATAATCATAACAACCATGCAGCAATTACTTTGGGGATAGGCAGGCTGCAGACCATGTCAAGACGTTCATAGCCGTCTAGTGGGATCATGTCCACAGTCCCTTCGGTCCTCCATCTCCCCATATTGCGGGGAAGCCTGTCATCATTTATGCGAATCATCCACGATGTTCCGGGGAAAAGTTTTGTCTGGTATTGACAGAGGTTGCTGACCGCCAGCCATCACAGCTTCTCGCCAACACCATTCAAAATGCAAAACATCCTACAACACCCGACCTGCCGTCTCAACCCCTGAATGGAAAGCACCTGACGAGCCTAGTTTTCCTTCTTCTGTGCTGGCCATGTTGACCTGTGCTGGCCATGTTGACCTGTTGTTTCGAAGACCTTTGGGGATCAGCTGATGATGGGTTTTCAGAAACGCATTGGTACTGACATTTTGCGCCTTCAAAAGCCACTCGCAATAGGGAATGCTACGATAATGAAAGCAACGCCAGTGAAGCAAGCCAGCTCCGTCACTTTCCATGTGGACCCCAAACATCAGTCCTCCACTCAAAGATCTCGATATTTCCAATTTGAGCTCAGTCGGCAGATCGAGCAGGCCGGAAACACGATTCCGGGGGTAATTGCCCCACGCCATAGTCGTTGGTGGAGCCTCTCATGGGTCCACAGTCCGTGTTCCGGCCCCGAGAACGGATCCACCTTTCTCCGCCTTGACGGGCGCTAAAACCCCGACCTTTGCTCTCGGCGTGGGGGCCAATGCGGAGGGTTCTCCTCGTGAGATCTTCCTCTCCGTCATCACCAACCCACGTTGACAGAACAACTTCATGGCACTAACCACCTGATCCGGACAAAAACACGACCGTAGTCTAGATCTCCAAAGGCAGTGTTCAAGTTGCGTGAATGGCCTCATTGTCTCTGGTACTCTGACACGACCGTTCTATTTCCCACCGCTCAACAATCCAAGGACCCATCCATCCATTCATCTATCCATTGATACCAAACCTTTTAGAAAAAAATAACACGGATTGAACGCAACGTTGACCAACGAGGGCTTATTATGTAATACGCCTATCGCAGCAAACCACGATAACAAATCGGGCAACAGATGATTCAGACTGTCAGCCGGCCCCCTCATTCTGCGGGGCTGAGTTATCCGTAATCTATTTTCATTTGGAATCACCTGACAGCGTGTGAATATGCGCGTTCGTGATGCGGGGAGTTTGGATCGTATGTATGAGAACCGCGTCTCGCGTTCTGTCAATAGCGTGGCTCCCGTCATCTACTGCCTGCCCTGAACCCCGCACGCCTTTCGAGATACATGGTGCATGAACTCCCCGGAACATCAAAAGTATTACGGGAGTTACACAAACACCAAGCCTCTTCCTCCGTCCAAACGCCTTGAAATGTGTGTGATGAATGTTACCTCAATCGGGGGGTGCGGCATGATGACAATAATAAGTAAGACGGGAAAGCGGGGTCAGTTGTGGTAAACGAAGCTGACATTCATCTGCAAGCAGGCCGTCGGCTGACGCTGCTGCCTAGAATAGGTGGTGCCTGCCCTTAGCTCTTGGTGTTTGAGATTTGAGGTTCCTTTGCTATCGTAGGGTAGATACCCGACGGTAAAGCTTTGGGGAATATTAATCAAGGCAGTTGCGCCTGTTCTTTGGACATATAGAGGTGAAGAGAAAGCGAGTCAGTATTGAACTCGATTCCCAAACTTTCCATCCTCTTCAGCCTTACGGCTTGAAACCCCCTTTCTCTCCCCTCCATCACCAACTTCAATATCAATCAATCACAAACCCAACCCACCATCATGTCCTCCTCCCAGGAAAAACCCCTCAAATCCTACCGTGGCAACTGCCACTGCGGCGCCTTCATCTTTACCCTCCTCGTTCCGGAAATCACCACTGTCGAGTACTGCAACTGCTCCAACTGCCGCAAAAAGGGCTACCTCTGGTTGATCCCCGACACGACCAAAGGCCACAAGTTTGAAGTGGTCAAGGACGAGGGAAAACTGACCGAATATGTGGCGGGCCCGAAGGGAACGAAGTACAAGTTCTGTAAGGTGTGCGGGACGGGAGTTTGTGCTATCTATAAGAAGGAGCAGGAGGAGTCTGGGAAGGAAGGGCAGGGGGTTTTGGTGAATGTGAGGGCGCTGCAGGAGTTGAAGATCTGGGATTTGGAGGTTAAGGAGTGAGTTTGAAAGACCTTACTTACCCTCTGACAAGACTGGATTGGAGGGACTGTTGACTGACATGATGCATCGATCCGCGGCAGATTCGACGGCAAAAGCATCCCGCCCCCATACCAGTCCGCCCCCTTTGACGGTCCCGAACCCACGGCCGAAGTCGAGAACGGCGTCGTCTACCATGGCTCTTGCCATTGCGGCGCCGTGAAAGTGGCCGTCAAGACCAAAGGGCCGCTGGACAAGACGTACAACGAGAGGGTTATTGATTGCAATTGTAGTGTTTGCCAGAGGGTACGTCTTCTCAACCCCGTTTCTTCACCTTTCTCCCTTTCTCTCCTTTTTCTTCTTTCATCCCTCTCCCTCTTTTTCTTTTCTCTTCCCACCCACCCCTTCTTCCCACAACCATATACTCTCACCACGCTAACTCATTGCCAAACAGGGCGGTTACATCTGGATCTACCCCTCCTCCTCCGAGCAACTCTCCTTCGCCCCGCAATCCCGGGCAAACCTGACCTCGTACGCCTGCATCTCCAAACTCATGTGCAAGACCTTTTGCAAGACGTGCGGCGTGCACCTGACCAACGAGTTTAACTCGGCCGCGACCGAGGACGAGATCGGGGCCGCCATAAAAGGAGAGAATGGGGACATGGTGATGAGGTGGATCAAGGGTGTTTTCCCGATTAATATCAGGTGCTTGGACCGGTGCCCCGGGGATGATGATTGGGAATTTGATAAGTGTGTGAAGGAGTTGAAGGTGGAGAAGGGAGATGGATGGGGAAAGATTCAGCCAGGGTATGTGAATCCTTGAAGGGTTGTGAGTGTTCTCATAGTAGGTTTCGTAGATGACGATTCAATTGTCACGAGGATCTGCTGAGACCTTTGACTTTGGGTGTCGATTATGGAATGGAAACTCTGGACCCTTGAACAAGTAGGCCTGAAGGAGGAAGAATATCTTGAACAGGAACGTGCTTATTACAGGGAAATGCATGATGGGATTTCAAGTAAATCATGACTGTGTTGAATGCAACATACGGGAGAATCTTAGGGTGAGGAACAAAAGTTCCACGCATCCTATATAGCCTGACGGTAGTTTCAACTGAACTTTGCGCGAACCTTACATACCAAGAGGATCATCACAGTATTCACTCCACGTAGGTAATCCTTCTTTGTGGCTGCCGAAACACAAGTGGTAAAAAGGGACTAGACCATGACAACCCAGCAAGCTGGACATCCTTGAACGTCACCGCCAGGTTTGTCGAGGTTTGCGACAAGTTGTCCAGAGATTTCGTTCCTGCAAAGGGGGTAATCTGTCAAAGTGAAAGATAGGTAGCTGGAGGCAATTGCAACTGTATTCGGTTTACTAGTGGTTAGTTGCGTAGGTTGGCAGTTACTTTCACTTCTAGTGGAGCGCCTGGATAATTCCATTAGGGAAGGAGCCAAATAAAGACAGACTACCTACCCTGACTATAGACCGGACACAAGAAGGATGGGAGGAATGTGATAATAGGAATATGGGAGGGTTTCTATCTTCAGCTACCTACCCTATTGTAAACCCACACTTCCAAAATCATACTTTTGCCAGAAACGATCAAGTTAAAAGCAGGAGATGTAGGTATTACCCATTACACGTCAAATAAGCTTATCTAGCGAGTCATCACACCCCGGTGATGACCGCCAGCTTCTGATTTATATCGAATCGAATCGATGCCTTTGAGGCTTCCGTCGGTTGCTAACCTTGCCTGCCGCCCGCGCAACTGAACAGAATGCTGTTGTGATCAACGGCCAAACCAAAAAGAAACCCTTTAGGTCAGCCAAACCCGACAATGAGGTTTGACAGACCTCAAATCCCTAAACTCCAGGCAGGCCTGCCATGCGGAAATACTATACACAAATGAAGAGAAAAAAAAATAGTTCTGTACGCACCAGACCGGAGCCAAAGATGTAGCGGTCGTATGTCCTGTGCTGTAGTCTTGTATATGTGGGAGTCCAGTCCCAGCCCCAGTCCCAGTTCCCAAAGTCCCACCAAGCCGAACACCGTCACAAATTGTGAAAGATTATCAATCCCGAGCCAAGACGTGTTGAAAGAAGGGAGAAAAGAGAGAGAGAAGAAAAAAAAAAAAAAAAAAAAAAAAAAAAAAAGTAGGAAAATTGTCGCCGTCATGCGCTCGCTCGCCCGCTCGCTCATCGTAAGAATCAAATCATTAACCACCATCAAATCCAAACTCATTATCCTCCTATTCCTCCAAGGTCCATCCATCCAGCCTAGTTCCCATCACTCCCCACAACAAAATCATCCCCCTTCTTCCTCTTCTTACTCGGCCTCCGCTCACTCTTCGTACTACCACTCCTACTATTCCATCCCCCTTCTCCTTCAACCCAATGTCCCTTCTCAATCATATGCTGCCGCAAATTATCCGGGCGGTTCTTATACTTACTCTTGCAACCGGGAAACTTGCAGGGGTAGATCTTGTCCGGCTGGTCGCTGTGCTTGACCTTCATGTGCTTGGCCATGCTGCCTTTGAACCAGCGGGGGTTGCCGTCGGGACGGTAGTCGCAGAGGTGGCATTGGGGTGGGTGTTGGGGGTCAGAGTCGGGCTTTTGGGTTTGATCAGTAGTGCTGGCTGGGGCTTGGTCTTCGGAAGGTATTTCCCCAAGGTGAGAAGCTTGTTTTTGCTGCTGTTGTTGTTGTTGTTGGCGGGTTTGTTGTGGTTGTTGTGATTGTTGTGGTTGTTGCGGTCCGAAAGTAGCTGTGAGACTGGCGACATGGGAGCTATGTAGAGCTTCGGGAGGAGTAAGTGTCATTGTTGGTACGGAGAATTTGCGGTATGCTTCCATTGGAACCTTGCCGATATCCGTGTGGTCCTTTAGGAAGCGGGCTAGCTCGTCTTGGTTTTCTTCGGTGGTGGTAACTGTGGAATGATTTTGAGGAATATCGAACCCCGATATCACGGATTGGATGACTGATATGCCGAGTTGGTGGTATACAGCACGATCGTTGACGCTTCCGAAATACTTGAGGTAGATCTCGTCGCACAGTTCCCAGACTTTCGGGACGTAGTCACTGTGATAGCGACTCGCGGGCATGGACTCCTGATGCGTTCATCAGCATGACTTGTTTTCGTAACTGATAAGAAATTATTAGGGGAACACTCACCTTTCCAGCATGAAGAACTTCGATCTCAAGTCGTCTACCAGAGAAGATGACCCCGTTGTTGACCTTGTTGCAGATTTCAGAAAGCTTTCCTTTGAGTAGTTGCAAATCCTCGTTGTATTTGACCAGTTCACAGAGCATCTTCGTGACATCCGATGAGAATCCGTGGTTTCTGGAAAACATAAGGACTTCTTGGTGCTTTCTATGGAGTTCCGACTTATTGATATCGAGTGAGTGCGATGGTTGGCCGAAGACAATGCAGCTTTCGAGTTCTGTAACAATCTGTTGTTAGTTTCTGATTGTTGATACAATAAACACCATCACTTACCATCCAAAAACCGGCATCCTGCAACCAGGAGGGTGTCAGAATGGGTGCTACTTATATCTATGCGAGTAGTGGGAGCTTTGCCTTTCAGACTAGATGATCTGCTCAAAGGCACAACAGAGGACTTTGCACGAAAGTTACCGAGATCCCCAGGCGTGATACCCGATGGTTCCAGAATGTGATAAACCAATTGGCGGTACACGGTCCCTTCTTCGGCTTGAAGTAGATTCTCGTAGGCCAGAGACTGGAAGAACAATCCCTTCGCGTCATGTTCCATGTGTTCCTGCCGAGTGACAAAGTTGAAAGCATATATGACGTGGATTAAACACAGAAAATCCATTGATGACGAAGGCTGCTCCCCTTGAAGCATTTGCTGGAGTGTTTGTAAACCTGTAAGCGCGATCTCTTTACATGGCATTGTTCGGAGTTTGTTGGCCAAGTGGTTATCCGGGATATCTTGGATTGCTTGTCTTGACGCAGATAAATGTTCCTGGATAAGATCCCAGGCTGACATTATCATCGTCTCGACCTCGGGGTTGCAGATGTTATCATTGTGAACTTCGATTTGCTCAGGCTCGACTATGTCCATAGGATCATCTGCTGTCAGGTCAAGCTGAGCTGGATATGTCGAGTCTGCCGATGGCATCTCCAGGGGAAAAAGGAGATCATCCGGCATTTGCGGAACATGAATTTCTGCCGGGAGTTCAGCTGGTCCATCAAGGATGTTGGGGAACGGCGCATTGTAAAATGTTTCAACAACCTCGTTAAACTCATCGGTCATCTTGGTATGGTTGACTGACCAAGCCACGTCAGAGCTTAATCCTTCGCTGTAATCCGTTACCGGGGACACCAGCGTCGAACTCATGGTGGTAAAGATGGTATCCGCACTTGCATTGGACCTGACGGATGACTGAGGAGATAGACCGTGCCTGCGAGAAGGGACTACGGCAGGCCTGGAATTGTGCCGCTGTGGGAGACGGCGTCCCGCTAGACCCTGAGTGTTGACTTGAAGGCTCGGCCTACTCTGACTGCTGCGCCCTGAGGCATCGTCCGGTAAGGTACAGGGGAATGGTGATGCTGAGTGGGAAGCCCCTGAGCCTTCCCAGTTCATCCCCATGAAACTTTGATAAGATGAGAGAAGCGGATGGGAGGGTTCGGTACATTCGAGCTCGGAAATCCCCTCGGACGTCTCAGGTATCCCGGGCAAGGTCTGGGACGAGGTGAGCACCATGGATGGAGCGGGTACCATAAGTGCCTGCGGGTCGACACCGGCTTCCAGTCCTGTCTCGGGATTGTTATAGATAGTGGACACTTCCACTGAGTCGATTTCATATCTCATCACCGATTCCAGTTCGGTAGGTTGAGTTTGCATCATGATCGGCTGATCAACCGAGGCAGCGCTCAGGAATTCGTAAGGCGGCGGCGCACTGGAATCATGGTCAACATCGAATCCCGAATCCTGACTCCGCTTGGATTTGTGACCTAATCCGTGGAAGAACTTCTTGGCCATGAACAACATTTTCCTCCTCTTAGATGGATGGCTGAGACATCGCTTGCACTTAACGTCGTCAAAGCGCTCGACCCGGTTATGCTGAGGACACCAGTACTCTCCGGTCGAAAGATACCTGCAGTTGACCAGGTGCTTTAGCATTGACTCGTGGTCGCTCAGCAGTAGCTGGCACTTGTGGAGTGGACATTTTGAACGTTCTTCGTCTTTTAGAGTTGGACATAGGTTGCGGTTTACTGCAGCCCATATGATAAATCTGGCCTGGGCACAGTCCTGGCGGAGAGTTTCTTGGGTCCTGTAATGCACACTTAGCCTCAGACTTACCCCAGAATATGATATGGCGGGGCCAGGAGAGAAGAAAACATACACACACGACAGTTCCTCACGATGCTGCTGATACGTGTGTTGATGCTCGGGTTGCTGTGGCTGTGGTTGTGGTTGTGGTTGTTGTTGTTGGGGAGGTACCAGGCTCGGGTCCAAAATGGGATGAAAAGGAGAAGCATGGACCCCATAGGGCTGATATAAGCTTTGTGAATCCCCACCGATCTGATGTTGGCTTGGATGATATGACGATAGCGTTCTTGTTGTAGACGACGTGTATCCAGTGATGAAGGAGGTCAAGGAGAAGGAGTCGTCGTCAAGAAGAGACGGCGCCTGCTTCTTAGCGTCCATCTTCCCAGGTGCGTGTACGGATGTCTTGCAGGACAAAGGTAGGTAGGCAGGTGGGCAAGTAAAGTAGGTACAACAGCAGCGGCAGCAGCAACGAGGATCCCTGATGGCGGTGCCAGGAACGATACTCTCTAGCAAAGTGAAAGAACAGACGGCACAGGCACGGTCATCTGAGAAATCATTCGCCACACATTGTTTGTTTTAATGCAGACTGGATCGCGAGCAGGGGCATTGGCCAGAGGAAGTGAGATTGTGAAAGAAGAGCCGGATCAACGGGATTACGCGATGGCGCGCGGGTCGTGGTTGAGGTCCTAGAAAACTAGAGCTTCGGTATTCACGGCCTGTGGCGGACAGGGTAAGCAAGTGAGAGCCTAGGTAGCTAATGGCAAGCCAGCTCAGCAAAGTGAGGTTGTCGGCCAGTGGTACGCCATTCTTCTTAGGACTTTGCGGTTGGCGAGCCGGGGTCACTCGTAGGACTTGGGGAGTTCCTTGAGTTGCTCTGGACTCTCTGCTGGGGCTGGACCGTCTGTAAGAGCAACTCTGACTGGCTCAACTGGTCACTAGCCACACATTTTGGTCGGCCTGGTCACCTTGAACCTACTGTCCCTGGCTGCAGATTGAGGGCGGTGACAGGCCCAGCAGAAGGAGACGGCGGATTGGCTGCCTCTTTGAAGATGTTGTCTTTGTTGTGATGGGAGGATGGATGTTCAACTGGCGTGGCTTGACCGGCACTTGAGTGCAGATGGCATCTTGATTCTTGACAGGCACCACAGCTGACAAGACTGTTGCAAGTGATCTTGGCAGGCACGCACTCACTGTTCGTAACGTGGGACAATGCCATGGTCTGTCCCTCGCAGTCAAGTTGCCATTCCCTATCTTCGCTGCCGCAGTCTCAGTTTAGTCGAAATCGGCGTCAAGGCACAGTTGGACGGACAAAGTCCTTTGAAAATGCGTGCGTAGGAACGCGTGATCATGAAGGGTGATCTGCCTTGTTGACTCGTTGCCTGCCGGAAGACAAGGTAAGGCTGTTTGCAAGGCAGCATCGGCCCCTTCATCTTGTCGAGACCCTTTTGGTCCATGTTCAGCTGGGATTGATATGAAGTCCTGTCGTACAAGAACTGCGCTGAGCGCTGATAGGCATATCATCACCACTTTCGTGGCGTGCCCAAGTCCTGCATCCCGGAATTTGCTGACGATAAAGACGCGGTAAGGAACATGGATTTCATGCGTGCCGGCAGTTGATGATTGATGATAAAGGCGATTGATTATTGGGTGCTCGGCCTTTCCGCGAGTTGGTAACGAAGTGAAATTGGCGTCATGGTGAAAACTGCGGGTGTCGCGCGAGTTCCCTTCCACGAGACGACGGAAGAGAGCGGGTCACTTGCCCCACAGGGACGGGACAGACCTCCCGGGCCAGCGGGGGCAGTCACGGCGCCCGCCGAGCATCCACAGCCCCTTGACTCCACATTTTTGCGTGAAGACCGGGCCGGACCCGACAAACGGCGGAAGGAAGAGACTACTAGTCAAGCCGGAGACTGAAGGGTGCTCAGTGTAAGTACCTCTAGGCATTGAATGTGCTGAAAAACAATTTATCCATTCCTTCCATTTCAGATTCAAACGATCTCATGAATAAAGCAGGGAATTAGATTTGTAGAAATTTGTCAGTCACCGTTTCCTCCAAAGTATCCGTCTTTGTATCAACTTGTTGTACCGTCACCTCAACTTTATCCGCCCCCTTTATCAGTTCATCGAGCATCGGCAGTACGATACCTCAAGTTCTACGTACTTGATACAGCATCTGATATTTTTTCTTCCGTGGTCGATGAAGGTGATACCTACTGCAGCATGACACACCTCTTTGACAACCTTTCTTATCTTATTGAATTCCCCGCGGACGGAACTGCCGACGGCGAGGGACGAGAGCGGCGGCTTCACTCACCAGGACGAGCAGGTCAATATCGACAAAGACCATCCCTCATACTGGAAGTATACTCTTTACATATCGTACGCACTCGTATGAGCAAGTTTCGATATACAACCTTGCGATGAACCCAAAACAAAGCTGACGCTGACGCCGGGGTTACTCCATCCTTGCGAGATGTTTTACATGAGGCAAGCGATGCACGCTGTGTTTGAGATTGGGTGCACCAGAGGGACAGGCCGTGACAGGGGAGCCGTCTGCCTTGATAGTGGGGTTCAACAGCCCGGTGAGGGGTTGATGTTATGGTTGGAGGGACACTTGCCTGCAGCCGCTAACATTGCCAAAATCAACGACAGGACGGTCTCAGATACCTCGATGATACCTTGAGATCGCAGAGAATGCAACCCACCAACATCGCTCAAACTTGCTCAATGCTGTGTCCCAAAGTGTCGACATCATCCCTATCGATACAAGCAGATATTATTCCTTTGGGATCCGAATTCTCGGAACACAGGATATGGCGGCTAAGCCACACACACCTCACCCACGCCATGGTTCTACGCTATCAGCAAACCCCCCATCACGGGCTGTATCGCTATCACGATCACGGGCACCCAACACCCAACACCCGAACAACCCCTCTTTCGCAAAGATCCCTAGTGACAGAAACTACCATCTTCAGCACATTTACATGACAACTTATTCTACAGCCAGTTTTGGCAATTCCTCTGGACCCCTCCGCTTCACTCTGCAATGAACTAACTGATCGAGCGTCGTAATCCTGATCGTCTGTCCATGTCCCGATGTGCCGTTCATCATGATCTGCTCCCTTTTCCCTCGGGTTTCGAAACAGACTCTCAGACCACTGAGAGCAGCCAACGAGACGAGCAACAGAAGGCGAAACATGCTACCATAGCATCAGCCAAACCTCGCTGCCCATCCATACCAATCCAAGTTTGGAACTGTCACACTGGACCCCCCACATTGTCTCACACCAACCAGTTCTAAGTTTCTCACTCGGCTTCGTTTATTCGATTTTGCCGCCAGTTCGGCAAACTTGACGGCACACGACCCAGACATTTTGAGCATGCGCTTGGCAGACTGACTGACTTGCAGGAGAGACGAAGAGAGGTTGTTTTACATCGAAACCATTGGCCGGTGTGTCTCCGTCTTATCGCGCCATCGAACATGGAAGCCATGCAGATGCAGTTTCGTGGGAGAGCAGAGAGACGGCCAGACGGGTGACATCGATCGCTTCCGTCGTTTGTTGGTTCCCAACCACTGACCAAAACTCTGGAATCTTTGTCGGGACATGCAACGATAAACAAGCTCTGCACGTTCCAGACACTGCAGCCATCCTCAAGAAGGCCTGATAGCCTGTCAGTCGCAGGGAGCTCAAAGATTTCTGCGTACACCACCTCCTTGCCTTGTGGAGATCCCGTCACGGGTCACTTATACATGAGGTGATGGCCGTCAAGCGTCAACGGATCGGCCTATATATGTCATGTAGAACATGTCTAGCGCGTCGCTGCGGGCTATCGCGGGATTGATATAACATACATACATACATACATACGTACATAAGACACTTGCTGTCGTCATCCAGCCTGCATCTGCTTCAGAAGTTTTAACAAAAAAAACAAAAAAAAGACCAGCCCAGCCCTCGGGAAACTCCATTCATGACCCCAAGACGGATGGACTCCATTCAAATTTCTCCTCAAAGGATCCACCCGCACAAAACCCACACCATCTCCAGAATGTCCAGGTGAGTTTTATGGTTAAGGGATCCCTGAGACAAAGCCCGACACACATTTCACTGCCCGATATCTGTCTTGCCTTCGGGTCTAAACTTTGTCCTTCGTCCTCTCCCATGTTTTGGCACATTTTTGCTTGATTATACTTGTCGACCCAGGGACGGCGAAAGACATTGAATGTGGACACCCACAACAAAGGCCCTGACGGCTGCTAATACATACCCTGAATTGCCAACGCTATAGGAACACGGCCTCTAGCTCGCTTCACTGCCGGCCTCCGCTCAGATTGCCTCCGCAGTCGCATCCCAGCAGCATCAATACGCCTCGACAGCGCTCCAATAACATGGACGGCTCCAACCACATGTCATCCAGCATCACGGAGCTCGATTTGAGCAAATGCCACCCGCGGATGGTTGACAGGATCAATGCCGTACCCGGACTCAAGACCAGTGCTGGTAAGCAACCATTTCTTCGTTTTCTCTCTTTCCGCAGCATCACGAGCATCTTCCATTAGGCCGGAGTTCGAAATGCCCCTTTCGCTTGTGTCGGGTTTTGTTCTTCTTGGCGCCGAAAATTTTCTGCTTGGGCCTGGATTTCTTGGCTTGGATTCGGGGGTCCGGCCTGAGGTCCGTTCAACAGGGGACAATTCCGGGGGCGGCGGGGCCCGATACCCCGGTCCGTTCATCGGCCAAGACACCACGAGAGTGCGACTCAGCCCGTCAACGAGACACGTGCTTCACTTCCCGATTTCAACACGTCGATATCCAAAGTCAACAATCATGGACCTGTTCCCAAAGCGTCAATTGAACTTGCATCTTATTCTTGGATTCCCACGTGGCCCAAAGCTTGACCTCTCATAATCGTCCACTGTCGCTCCGCTGATTGCCTCCTTTGGAACCGTCATGTACCATCACTTGGATCTCTCGACATCTCTTCGAATTCTTCTCAGCTAAATATATACCAAGTTTGTTATCATCGATTCTAACATTGCCAATCACCAGCTTTCTTCACCTTCCTCCGCGCCAACCTCGTTCTCCCTCACTCCGGGCTCTCCTCCAACCCCTCCACTCCCTACCTAGAGCCCTACGTTCCTCCACCACTACCGCCGCTATCCCGCTCACCATCTTCCTCCTCATCCTCATCTTCAACCACCAAATCCTCCAAATCAAGATCCAAGTCAACCACCATGACATCAACACCACCAACGGTCGCCGCCAGCGGTGCCGAAAACCTCGACGACATCCCCCCTCTCACCCTCGACATCCTCACCACTCGCCCCGCCAAGACCGACGCCCTGAAACTCGTGGCCGACTCCATCGCCCAACAGCGTCAACAAGCCTCTTACCACCTCATCACTCACCCTGCCTGTCTTTCCGCGCTTTCCGCCGCCCTGGCTCTGGTCTACCAATTCGGCATTGCCCGCGCCTCCCCCCAACATCAAGACTGGGGCACCACAGCCATGCTTCTCTCTGGAGTAGTCATGACCTACCTGATGACCATCAGGTACTTTACTTCAGGTTACATCAAGCTAGCTGAATCCCTATCTTGGGATTGGTTGCTCAATCCGTCGGCGGACGGCAACAGCCCAGCCACGGAAGAAGAAGACATTGTCCTCGGCACCTATTATGGCACCGAGCTCATCGGCGCCCTCGTCCTCCGTCTCGAACCACCCACTTCCTCTCGCTCCTCCTCACCCACCGCAAACAGACAGCGGAAATCCCACTCCCGCCACAACTCCTTCTCCGCAAAGACCAAGTCCCTCAAGGGCGGGAGGGGCGTAATCCGCGCGTGGACGACTAAGCTCAGATACAGAGGCAGGGGCGTGGGCAAGGACATGTTGGTTGAAGCGGTTAGGCTGACGAGAGAGAAATGCGGAAAGGAGGCAGAGGTCGGGTTCGCGGCCGAGCATGCAAATGCTAACTGTGGCGAGGTGTTGCCCGAGTGGTTTTGTGGTGGGTTTAGAAAGGGGGAGAGGAGGGCCGCGAAGTGTTTGGAGGGTGTTGTTGCTGAGTACAAGCGGTAATTGGATCCAGATTGGAGAGGATGTTAGGCGGGGATGGATGTTTTGTCTACTTCGAGAGGGATTTCGTGGAGGTCGGTTATTGAGTTGCTCGTTGTCGTGGTTGGACGAACCATCATGGATATGGTACCGACCAGCAAGGGTAATTCAGGGGGATATGTCCACTCGCTCTAATGGGTTGGAAGCAGTTTTTCTTTCATTACGATAATACCTTCCTACAGGCGTTCACCGGGGTGGTTGTTTGTTCTTTCTCGCATGTTTTCTGTTTTCGCTTTGCGCTCAAAATTTTCCGGTCTTTCAAACCTTTCTTCTTTCGAGATACCACTTAGATTTTGTACACGGACATGGATGAGCCAAGGTGCTCGCGGCAGCACAACTCGATGGTGACTGATGTCACAATTGGATAGGAGAAAAAGATACCCTCGTTCTAGATAATAATAAAACATGAGTGCTACAACCCTCACACCATGCGTTGTTGATGTTTATGCAATTCATTTGGTTCCTCACTTTGTCTACACATAACTCCATACCAATGCTTCATGCCTCCCCATCAGCACCCCCCCATAACCATCCCATTTCCTTCCCCCCTCCCCGCGCGCATCTCACATCTACAACAACTCATCCCTCCAAGGAATCGAATCCTGCGCCCCTGGCCTCTCCACTGTCTTCGCCGCCGCCTTATTCGCCTTCCTTACCGCGCCCTCGATATCAAACTGTTCCCCCTTTTTGGCAGCAATCACCACCTCCAGCGCATACATTCCGACAAACGTATCACCCGCCGCTGTGGTATCCACCACCTTGGCCTTCTCCGCCTTGATCAATCCCTTTTTTCTTCCCCCCTCACCACCAGTCATGAAGAAAACTCCCCGCCCACCCAAAGTGACAATCACCGTCTCAACCCCCTTTTCCAAAAACACCTTGCCCACTTTCTCCAGCCCTTCCTCCGTGTCGAGCACCGACTCCTCCAACCCGCTAAGAATAGCCGCCTCCGTCTCATTTACCACCAAGTGCGCCAGCCCGTCAAACGCCTCATCCGGCAAGGGGACCGCCGGCGCCGGGTTCAGCAGGACCTGCACCCCATTCTGCTTGGCCGTCTTGAGCGCCTGCAGCACCGTAGGCACGGGGATCTCGAGCTGCATGATGAGCAAATCTGGCTTTTCCTGGGGCGCACCACCAGCACCACTGCTGCTACTGAGGTGTGCAACCTCGGAAACGTGCTCGGGCTGGAGGAAATGGTTCGCCTCGGGACTCAAGATGATGCGGTTCTGGCCCGTCGGCTCGTCCACCACAATCATGGCCATGCCCGTCTTGGCCCCGGGAGAATCCAGAACGCGCACGCCCGAGACGTCGACGCCGTGTTTGGCAAGGTTTTCCTTGAGCAGGGACCCATAAGAGTCGGCGCCGACTGTGCCGAGCATGGTGATGTGAGCGGTTTCTTCGGAGGACGAAGAAGAAGAGGAAGTGTGGGAGCGGGATAACTTGGCGCAGGCGACGGCTTGGTTGGCTCCCTTTCCGCCGGGGGAGACGGCGACGGAGTTGGCGGTCATGGTTTCTCCTGGCAGCGGGTGGTGGGAGACGTAGGCTACCAGGTCTATGTTTAGGGAGCCTAGGACTGTGATTCTGGGGGTGGAGGTAGAGGTAGTCATTTTGTCGGCTGTGCACTTCTTTCTCGTGCCGTTAAGTTGAGCTTGAGTTGTGGTAATTTGTGATAGAGATGGTGGTGGTTCGGTGATTTGATGGTGATGCCAAGCTTGGTGTTGAGGGGTCCTGTTTGCTATGCGGGGAAGCGTCGGCGGTGAGGTGACTTTCCCGGCGCAAAAAGTACAAATTTGAGAAATTGGGGGATGAAGGTCAACTTCACGGTAAAGGTTCAAAGGTAAGTAAAATGTTTCGAAGTTACTTTGTATGACTTCGGTAGAAGAAAGGAAAAAGAAGAATTCGCAAGAAGCTATTGGGCCGGGAAGCTAAAAAGGTGACGTCTGAATTGGGAAGGTGGTCTGGCGCTCACCGAACTTTAGGGGACGTTTAACCGGCGGTATCCGCCTAGAGCCAGGGCACTGCAACGACAAACAGAATGAAACTGTTGATAATCACTTGGCACCGAGCTTCATGATACTCACGTAACTTACTATGCAGTAGATACCTCCTCAAGAAACTATGCACCTCTGCGGAGACTACCCTAACAAGCACAACAAGCTGGACGTTCTCACAAACGAAGGGTATCTCCATTCGAAGGAATCGCTGCAACAGTAAGACATAGACCAAACCTCCATCAGACATCAGATAACCTATTTAACAATCATCCAGCCCAACTATGACAAGCAATTGACTTTACCAATCGACCTTTGTCCATACAACCCTTATATACTTGGAAACCTGATCGTCACAGCCCCATCACCAATCCTAAAAAAACAACGATGCATACCTTCTATCCCAGTTCATTCGTGAATGCCCTATAAGTCATGGACAAGTGCCAGACCCACAAACGCCTCATCATGACATGAAGAATCCATCCGTTCACAAAAGAGCAAAACACACGCAAAATTTGTCATAAGAAAGCCCCTTCCGTCTTTTCCCCAATTCGAGACATTTCTGAACACGGGTTTAACCAAAGCAACTGGGGTATCATCGCGAATACACCATTCCTTACTTTTTGTATGTGTAGGGGGTGACATATGTGACTGACGAGTAGTGACCGCCTGGGACAGCCGAGAGATCGTGAGGTAGTGCGAATTTATGCTCTATACTGTCGATCGGGTGGCATGTGATGGCTGATGTTGATTGGTGTAAATCCTCTTGCAAGCTCAGGCACCACAGCAGGGGCTGGTGCGGCCAAAGGCGCATGTTTTGAACTCGAAAACCTCGACATCGTCGCATCTGCCGTAGCCGCCGCCTTTGCTGACATATTCGCCATAACCTGGGATCATTTTGGGCCAGATAGTTGTCGTAGATTGACTTCGAAGTACTCTAGTCCGAATCGTCGTTATTGCCGCTACGATTACCGCTGCGGCCTTGTTCACCACCCTGGGCGAGGGCGCGACGGTGGGCGCCGCGCGCAGGAGGCTCCCACGTCTCGGGGTCAAAGCCGTAGATGGGTTTGCCAATGCGACGAAGGGCGAAAATCACCTTTTCTCCTATTAGCTTACCGTTGCTTCCGCTGATACTTGCCATGTCCTGTGGCCCTCGAGGGTGCTGATGCTACTTACGTCCGTTACGGTGACCGTCTTCGCGTGCCTGTGCTCTGTGTACGTGACACAGTCGCGCAGGATCTGTTATAGGTCTAAGTTAGTAGTGTAATTCTGGTAGCTGAGAGGAAGAGATGGAGGCGTTGGGAGGCATACCATCTGAAGTCTTTCCTTCAGTGCTGCCCTGATTTCATCGTAGATGCCGGCAGAGATACGCTTGACACCGCCACGACGGGCTAAACGTCTGCAAATATGTTAGTTACATACGCTTCTTCCGAAAATGTTTGGACAGCTTTATGAAAGGGAAATAACTGATGATGCTGAAGGGAAGGTGGGCTAGTATGTAAATAGGCCTTCAAGTTTCAAGACAAAGCTTGTCAGGAGCATGTAAAGATAGGTTGATGAATGCATCCCAAAATAGCAGCGGTGGAGGTATCACATCAAGAGTAACCTGATGCAGGTATGAAGACTTTCTGACCCATGAAGAGGCACGATGTGTAAAATGGAATACAACGTAAAATGCCAATACCAAAGTGCAGGGTAGACAAATCCATGGCAGCAACGGCCCACTGAGATGCATCGATAGCATTTGACGACCAAAAGAGAACCTGACACGGATTTGACAAAAGGATGAAGCAGAGAATCGGTAGATCCCAACGAAAGACATTCAAAGGATCAAAACAGAACAAGAGACAACGTAAATCCAGTCTCGCACAGTACGTACCGAATAGCAGGCTTGGCTGAAGCACACAGAGCATGGATGCATCAGTAAACCGTTGTTTATCGATTGAGGATAATGAGCTGAAGGGGTTCGAAGAAGCGCGCTCCACTTTCACTCTCATCCGAAGATAGATGAGGATGGTAATGGAAGCGGCATCGTGTCTAGCGACAGAGTTGTCCCACATGTAACACAACGCGCTGATGGTTGATGTGCTCAATCGTAGGTGGTTGTAGGCTGTGGAAACTCACTGATACCGCGAATAGTATCTTTGATGATTTTTCTGTTTCCCAAATGTGAAATCCGTTAGCGAGTGCATATTGTATATTTGGGTAAATGTGTTTCATTTTCGTTCTGTCTTCCTTTCTTTCTTTTATTTTTTGCCTGGTGACGGTGTATCGTGTATCGTCGTCCACATGAATGCTTCCTCGAACTTGTCAAGACGCTGGTGCTAGGCGCTGAGGTAGGTGCTCTCGGGCGCATGACCGCGTTCAACTGAAGTCGACGTACCTGTGGCGCTTGATGCCCACGCCGCCCTGGCCCTTGCCCTTCCCACTCGCGCCGCTCAAGACGGACTTACCGCCCACTGAGTGGCGGTGCTTCAGTCCCGAAGGACCGCCGCGAGAGGGTATAGTCGGCGGCATAATATCGAGTGTTGAAATTTAAGCCGCGTTGTGTGTTAAGAGTAAACAACAAAAGAAATGATGAAAGCTCAAAGAGCACTCCCTGCAAGGCCAAATGCAACCGAGACGGAGGCGTGCAGTCAAGTGGAAGTTGGTGTAAGCGAATGCGCCTAAGGTGGGGCTGAAAGTTGTTTGAAAGTTTGAGGTTGGTCGGTTGCTAGGCAGAGGGGTGAGTTCAAACAGCGTAGGGTGAGCTTAAGCTATCGATCATATCCAAATAGGGATCCGTGCACCGGCGCAAAGAAGTGCACTAACAGACAGGAAGGGCAAGAGGATGCTCAAGTCAAACTGCCATGTATCACACAGTCACAGCGGACAACACGACCAGCACAGGAAGCAATCCAAGTCTATTAAATTAGTGGGCTCTCCAGGAAGCCTTGTTATGTTATATCAGATCCACTATGCAAAGCGGGCTCCTTGTCCGGACCGAGATGGAGCAAATTATCGAGTCCTTATAAACAGTATGCAGGAGACAAACCGTCCAACGAGTGACCAAGCACCTCTATCGGCATCTCTCAACGACTCCAAACCATGATACCAGCCCTCATTGATATAGCGTGTTACCCAGAAAAAACCGTCATTACTTCCTCATCCACATCTTAGATTTAGGCGGAAATGAAGGTAGCCTCGCTGAACAGGTAGCCCTCCTCCGAGATTTCTTCCTCCCCAAGCTTGAGCTTGAGAGTGAGCTTCTTCTTTTGTGGCGCGTACTAGATTGTATTCATGTCAGTTCAACAGTCCAAATAATGAGCGATAAGCAGAACAAAATACCTGGTAAATGTACGGCTTTGTGCCAACAGCACCCGCGACGATCTGCTTGACAAATCCTGGCACCTCAGCCATGACGTCTATCCTGTCGAGCTTATCCTCGAGCTCGCCCTCTAGAACAGCATCGGCCTGCTTGCCGTCCTTGGTAGTACCCTTCCACTCAAACTTGATAGCAGTTGGCTCGGGCCAGTCGTTCTCCGTGTCGCCCTTGATCGCAACATGCGTGACCGCACCCTCGGCGCCGGCGAAAATGATCTCATTGTCCTTGACGATACCGCCGACGTTCACAACCGTCGATCCGTAAGAAGGGGGAGTCGTGTACTGCATCAGGACCGCAGAGTAGTTGGGGCCTTGGAAGTTGCAAAAGTTCCACTTGGCCGCGGCGTGGTGAGGCTTCATGCCCTGCAGAGCGTGGACGAACATGGCGCGTCCCTTGCAGTCGACGGGACCATCCGGAGTGGCAATCGTGCCCTCGGCGACACACCTGGGCCAGAAAACGTGGCGCATGGAACCCCAAGGGTTGGCAAGGTCGGTGCCAAACAGTGTTGTGCCGGATGTACCAATCTTGAAGCCAGGCGCTGTCCTCTTGATGGTCACGTTGACAATCGACCTTTCATCGTTCAACGACTTGATAGTGTACGAGTTTCCATCTTCCGAAAGCTCGACGGCGCAGTCGGTGGCGTAGAAGCTGGTCTTGTCCTCGCTGAACTCGTGGTTGTTGAGGGGCGTAGAGCACCAGAGGTGGGGCTTGGATCCATCCAGGGAGAAGACCTTGCAGTTGAACTGGCAAGTCGTGCGGATGCCACTGTTGTGTCATCAGGTCAGTACGAGGCCCACGTATGCGAGCGCGCCACATGGACGGCGAATCGTGCGATGGGGAATCTTACGCAACGTTGGAGTAGATGACCTGGGCAAAGGCGAGCTGGCCGCTGTCCGTCATGAAGTAGAAGCACTGCGTCTCGACGCAAGTGGACTCCATGGCCTGCCATTTCAGGTCATCCTTGGCGGTTTCGGTATAGGGAGTCGTCTTGGCCTCCTCGGCGACAGACCTGATAGCCTCGGGGCCGTAGATAGGCTCCTTGGTGCCGGCGACATTGGCCAACCTACAAGCGAGTCGTTAGAGGTTTGCGTCCAGCGGGTGGTGGGGGGTGGGCGGCATCATGGATGGTTTGGGGTGCTTGGAGTACTCACGCCGCTTGCGCCCACTTGAACATGATGAAAGTCTGGGGGGGTATAGGGCGAAATGGGAAGAGTATAGATTAGAGAAGCAAAAAGCTAAGACAACAAGGCAAAAATGAGTCTAGTTGTGAGAATTTTCCAGGTAGTTTGATGTTCAAGATTAAAGTCATTCACCGCCGTCGAGAAAGATGGGGCAGAGCTGAGATGGCGCCGCGCTCAGATAAAGGCCAATGGAAAACAGAAGGGGCAACCCAGTCTGTCCCAAATCTCCTACAAGTACGTACCTTTGGGCTTCCCCGCGGCCGACTGCCTCTAGCCGTGGCCCTCGATGCGTGGCAGTCGAGCGGCAAAGAAGACTCACTGGCTCTTGAAGGTGCACGTCACTGTTCCGCCCAACTCTCCACACGCATCACCTGAGGACTTGACGATCGACTGGACCCTTTCAGATTCCTACAGCGGGTCTGCAATCACTTGGAGGGTTCAGGTTTCGCAATGCCATGTTCCCTTGCAGACTTACAGCAGCTCGAACGCACCTTTGCGGCAGGGCAGGCGGCAGGCAACGACGGGAATGATCAATCCAAGTCACGCCCGGTGGGAGAGCAATTGGGGCGGGACGAGCGAGGACTTTCAGTTGACGGGCGGGGTCCAGTCAGGGACGGACGGCATCCAGCTTCTGCATACTGTACTAAGCCACTAGCGGCACTGATAAGCGGCGATAAGGGACTACTGACTGTAGCACTCTTAAGTAGTGTGTGGCTGAGGCTCAGCAGGAGTGGCTGACGTGACCCTGGCCGCAACGGTTGCCGGCCCGGCGCCCGATTTTTTTTGGGCCCAGCTTGAGGTGCCGCGCGCGCCGTCGCCGCCGCCGTTGCTGCCGCCGTCGCGAACGAGGATACCCGACCGACCTCGAAAGTGTAACACGCGACTGCAGACGCGCCGAATTACCGTTCCGTCCTCCTCCCAACTTAACTTCCCTCGAGGGTCTCTGCAGTCGAGTCGCCAGAATGTCCAAGGCCGCAAAAGGTGGTGCTGGTGCTGTTGAGCAGGTGGTGAAGCTCATTGTCGGCGCCGGTCAGGCCAGCCCGAGTCCCCCGGTCGGTCCGGCCCTTGGTTCCAAGGGTATCAAGTCCATGGACTTTTGCAAGGTCGGTTTGCATGCGTCCACACATATAATATCCACAACACAAGCTGACATGCGCTCAAATCTGTATAGGAGTTCAACGCCAGAACCGCCCATATCAACACCGGTACCCCTATGCCCGTCCGTGTTACCGTCAGGCCCGACCGCTCGTTCCACTTCGATGTCCGCACCCCCCACACATCATGGCTTCTGCTCAACGCCGCCGAGGCCCCGATAGGCAAGGGCGGCAAGAGAAAGGGCGCCAGCAACCCCGGCAAGGAGGTTGTCGGCACCGTCAGCCTCAAACATGTCTACGAGATCGCCAAGATCAAGCAGTCCGAGCTCCGTCTATCCGGCCTGCCCCTCGAGGGCCTCTGCAGGGCGGTCATCTACCAGGCCAGGTCGATTGGTATCAACGTGATTCCCTGAAAGAGGCTATACGCTGAAAGACATTATACGGGCTTGGGAGCACGAAGGCGTTACGGTTGTTTCTTTTAGGTGGATAGACCACGGCATTGTTACCAATATTGGATGGGGACTATAGCCATCGCTTGTGGCTCTGTGTATCTTTTCTTGTATCATTATTGTATGGCAAAATCTCAAAATGCACAGCGGTGCCTGGAGCTGTTGGTTGGTCCACGGAGTATGTTCGTTTGGGAAAGGCTTCCACAAAAGGGTGCTAATGGTAGGCATGGCATATAGGGGCATTTGCCGGCTTGCGTTTGCATTGCCTCGACGTACTCCAGCTTCGTCAACCTTGGCTCACGTAGCTTGTGTCTGTGGAACACGCAGGCGTATGACGAGGATCTGTCTCTGTAGGATAAAGTTTTAAGGTTGGCGGTCACCAAGGCAGACCGCACAACGGGTATTATGCTTACCTGAATGTAGGTGAGATGTGCTTATGATGCTCTTGGCCAAGCTGACTGCAAGACAAATCACAAACATATATACACTGAAAAGGGGTTATGTAAACAAACCACCCCTTCGCCCAAGTGCTTATCCACCAGCCCACTTCTTAACACCCAGGCGAAGCCCCGGTATCATGTCGCCCTGGTGTTCATCTCATGCTTTCAATACTAACGAGATGAAATGGATGATTGTTTAATATCGTACACGTGTGCAACGATTGCAATTACATTCGATGGCTTCTAGAACCATTCGGGCAATTACCTCCCGCAGCATGGCGGGGTATCGACATGGGTTACACCGAACCGAGCGATAAGGACCTGGTATTCGGCGGTAGAGATCGACACAGAAAGCCGTTTACCATATCCGTTGCCAGTTCGAAAAAAAAAGGTTGGGTGACATCAGGACAGTCACCGGAGACAAAGCTGACCACCGACACCACCTAGACTTGTCATCCATGCCTTTGCGGTGCCTCGGTCTTTCGGACACGGCGGCGCTCTAAAAACCCGCTTTGACGGTGGTCGGGGCTGCTGCGGGATTCATACTTGACTCTCTGCTGTTCAGTTGAAACGCAGGGCAACGAGGATGACAGCCAAGGACGCAAGGCACAATCGGCTGAGGTGTTCACTCGAGTCATTGGGTAAACTTCCCAGTGTTTGAGGAACAACACGGGGCGGTGGAAACAGAGACGTGATGGAATGGATGTCCTGGCAGGAAGTACACCCGCGTCAATGCAGCTGGTAAAATTGACGTTTTAGAGGGGGAGGCGCTGCAATCGCTCGGCATCTTTCAAAGCTGGAAAAGGAAGTCGGACAAGATGGAAGAGGACATCGATGGACAGGATCAGGGACCTGACCCCACGTTGCCGACCGCTCCCGGTTCCAATGTGTACTCATGTAGTGTATGACAAAGACTGGCAAGATCCAAGACGGGACTCCTATTGCGGTTTTGGCAACACAGACGCCCAGACAGGGGGCCCGCCGCCACGTTCAAACTGTTTGACTTCGAGACCGCTCACCTTGTGAGGAGGGGACGGAGTCTGTGACTGCGGATCCATCTGAAATTCAATGATTCTAGGAAAGCCGGCTTGGCCCGATCTCAGTGCCGGCGTGCCCGCTCTCAGATTCAACTCAGGTCCTCTCCTCTCAGGCGGGTGCACTGGCTGCCGTGGTCCATCAAGGGTACCCGTGTTTCCCGCCGCCTGCAGCCAACGTTTCCTGTAAGTACCTGTCATGTAGCTCGGCCCCACCACGACGCAACAGAGCGCCATCTTTCACACTTCCATTTCTTCGCCGAACCCGGGCCGCTTCTGTCCCAAGTGAACAAGAAGGAAGCCTAGGCACACAGCATCGACAAGGAATCGTCAAGGCCAGGCAAAGTCAAATCAGAAGTCACGGTGGAAAGTGGAAACCCCATTATTCACCTCCTACATAGTGTACTAGTAGTGACTAGTCCGAGCCTTGTCTACAGGCTTTGAAGTTCCATGACAGTTGAGATCGCCGTCATCTATTTGGCCCCGACTCTTCTTTCGCCGCCGTCCCATTTGCCTTTCCCTTGCTTCCACTTGACATAGTTTCCGCCCATTCCGCCGCTGCGTCTGCTTGCCGGTCTGGTCTTGTCTTGCATCTTCTGTCGCTCTGTCACCTGTCTGGCCCTTGCATCTTGCATCACACGGTCTTTTATCCCATCTTTTTTATCTCTGTTCTCCAGGGCAGGCCAGACACCAGACGTTATTCGGATTCCTGCCAGGATTTTACAAGTTTTATTAGTTTGCGGAGACGGGCGCAAATTCGAACCAAGAAATCAAAGCAACCCAACAAAAACAACAAAACACCAAAAAAAAAAAAAAAAAGAGAAAAAGATGGCGACCGCTGAGAAAGAGTCAGAGCAGCGTCAACCGGACGAACAGTACCAAGGTAAGGAGAAAGGAAACAACAACGGAGGATTAGAAAAACAACATGAATAAGAAAATCAACGGCAACCCCTCCTCTCTGATCCCTATTACGCCAATGCTCGGGGATTAGAACGAGCAAGCATTGGATTGAAGCAATTCGCTGACTTGTAGTCTACTCCAACAGCTGTCGAGCCGCAATCGGCCAAAGTCACTCCCGCTGAACCATCCAAAACCGAGCCTGCTGTCCGCTTCAAGTCAACTGTCGAAGAGATCACCCCAGAGGGCACCACATCGACACCAACCATTGCACCAGACGTCACCCTCGGCGAACCGGGTGAGGTCACCCCCGAGCAGCTTCGTGATATCGCCGAGAGGTTGAAGGCCTGTCCGCTGCAGGAGCGAAGGATAAGCCTTTTCCAGTACGAGGCATTCTCGCTTCCCGCTTCAAGGGTAAGCCCATCCCAATTTCACGTGAGGGGCTACGCTTCTTGCTTCCTTCCTTTGTTCACTTCCCAAGTTTTGCTTTTACGTTGGTCCGTCGCTTCCGGGGGGGGGGGGGCTTGTGCAACCAAGATCAGCTCGGTGGCTTTTGCTGGTTTTTGCCATGTCTCTTGTCTGATTGCACACCATATATCCATGCATGCATAGTCACCATTCTTTGCGTCTGCGTCTTTACCCCTTGGGCGAGGACTAATACTTTGCTGTCTCCAGACACCTTCCCACGAAGATGAATCAAGAGCTCCCAGTCGCGAACATACACGGAGCTCGGCAGGTCGCAACTCACCGCTTCTTACTCCGCACGTCAGGGGCCACGAAATGCATACACCTCCTCTCACGCCGGCTGGAACCGACAACGTCGACCGAGAACTTCGCCGCGAGAGCGCTCTGGCGCAAGAAAGGCGGAGTGCCAACCTCATCACTCCTCAGGATTCTTCCCACGAACCGACATCACCTACCTCTCTCCGCAATGTCCAGCTGCCTACACCCGACGAACAGCTGCGGAGCTCTTCCAGGCCGACTTCGATAGATGGCCGAGATCGTCCCCAGATCACTATCGGTGAACATCGCAGAGGGTTGTTTTCCGTTGGATCCGGCGGCAGCAGTTCTCCCAGTAGATCTCAGCCTGCGTCTCGTGAATCCAGTCCCTCCCGAGCGTTGGCCGCGTCACAGTTCTACACCCGCCAACTACCACCTCCCGGCGATGCCAACGATCCGTACTCGGCAAGCAAACGACCTGCGCAAAAAGGCATTGAGCCTCGCTTTATCTTCTCCAGGAAAAAGAACTCGTCCTCTTTGAGTCTGGTATCCAAAAGCGACAAACGCTCCAAGAAGGATCGCCATGACAACGACGACGAGGCTACGATCCCCAGCAGAAATAGCTCAATGGCGGACCTGAAGAGGTTCTTCAAGCTGGGACCTCACAAGAACAAGAGACCGGCATCTCCCGCTGCTTCTGTAAAGTCTACGCCCAAGACACCGGGAGGCAAGTCTGCCCAGATTCCGTTCGGTGACGATCACGGTCTCTCTTCTAAATACGGGAAGCTTGGCAAGGTGTTGGGTGCCGGAGCGGGAGGTTCCGTGAGACTCATGAAGCGCAGCGAAGACGGTGTGGTCTTTGCCGTTAAGGAATTCCGCCCTCGCCACTCGTACGAAACCGAGCGCGAATATGTCAAGAAGCTTACGGCCGAGTATTGCATGGGATCTTCTTTGCACCATGGCAACATTATTGAAACCCTAGACATTGTCCAGGAGAAGGGCAAGTGGTATGAGGTGATGGAGTACGCTCCATATGACCTGTTCGCCATTGTCATGACAGGAAAGATGTCTCGAGAAGAGGTCAGCTGCTGCTTCCTTCAGATCTTGAGTGGCGTAACATACCTTCACAGCATGGGCCTCGCACATCGGGATCTGAAGCTTGACAACGTTGTGGTTAGCGAGCATGGTATTATGAAGATTATCGATTTTGGTAGTGCTCATGTTTTCCGGTATCCGTTTGAGACTGGAATTGTCCATGCCTCAGGTAAGTAAACACTTGGCTGAGAAGATGCTGGTTGAAGCGTTGCTAACTGATTAAAGGCATTGTTGGATCCGACCCATATCTTGCCCCCGAAGTGTACGACGAAAAGAAGTACGATCCCGAGGCTGTTGATATCTGGTCATTGGCCATCATCTACTGCTGCATGACACTCCGACGATTCCCGTGGAAGGTTCCACGATTGACCGACAACTCGTTCAAGCTATTCGCTGCAGAGCCTTCGTTCGGACATGACCCAAAGAAACTGTTGCTTCCACCTTCAGCCTCCACGTCGGCGCTTAGCGATCTTCCATACAGAGACTACGACCCTCAGAGCGTCAGGGCTAGCAGCGACAAGATCGACAAGGTTCAAGATGACAAGAAGACGACTTCGGATCACAAGCCGACGGCGCATACAACCAGCGTACAAGGAGAAGCTGGCAGCACTGGAGAGAAGAAGGAGGTTATCCGTGGTCCTTGGAGAATCCTCAGGCTTCTCCCGAGGGAAAGCAGACACGTCATCGGCAGGATGCTCGATCTGGATCCCAAGACACGGGCCAAGATGACGGAAATTCTTGACGATCCATGGGTGGCGAACACCGTCATCTGCCGGCAGATCGGCCCCGGCAACGTGGCACATGCGGATGATCACGTTCATACTCTCGAACCCCCATCAGCACCTGCAGGCACCAAAGATGAAAAGGCCAAACGCTAGAAGTGGAGCCTTCGCGCCAATAGACATATTCAAATACAGGACGGCTTCTTAGGGGTACAGGATGCCACCAACATTTGGGTTAGGAACAAGAAGGGTTATCTGATGGGGAGTTGTGGGGGATAGTTTGGGTTTAGTATTGAAAAGACCGAACATACGTTCTTAGTGCAGTATATGGGCATTGTTACCATTTTCCTCTCAGTCGGTGTCTGTCACCTTGCGAGGCAGCGGTTTTTCGTCATTTTCTTGGGCGTTTTTGGGACTTGGGAAGACAGCGCTGCGATTGGGTTTGGGTGTCGATGCAAAGATTCAGTATAGGGGGGCCGGGTTCCAGGCATACAGCGTCCATCTTTTTGATTATGCTACTCTCTGGTAAAAGATAGAAGGTGGTATGGCTAGGCTAGACATATTGTGGGAGACGGGCACTAAACAATGTTGAGTGTATAAAGGTCGCTCGCTTTATAATTAGAAAGTGCAGTTATTGATCGAGTGAGAAGGGGTGTAATCTAGACAGACAGCTGACCAGCCGTGAGATATGTGACGTTGCTAATGGTGATGAACTTTTCCAGACCTTTCTCAATGCGATGGAAGTTGGGAATCCAGGTTACCCCTTATATAGATATAGAGGTAGAGGAGACCTTATCTGTGTTCTGTCATGGTGACCGGAGCAACGGACGGAGCCGCTTCGCAGGACGATCCACCGTTCCCCGGCCAAGCTGGGCGTGTTACCCCAGCTTCGCACAGCCAATCAGAAGCAGGCAGGCTGCCCGTTTCGGCGGGATTGCCGGTGACGTACCGACGTCGGCAGGGATAAACAGCAAGTCCGGGCCCATTGAAAAATGGAGCGGCATCTTCTAGATGCGTATCGAAGCTCGTACAAGGGTAATCAAAAGTCGCGATCCCGCCGGCCCAAATACCGAAGCTCTTTCCCCCTCAGTCTCCTCAGATCCGCCGTACTCGTCCATCCTCACGCCCAAGCTCGCCAGTCGAATCCATCGTTGCCGTTCACCGTTTCAATCCCGTCAAAATGGTGAGCACACACCTCCTGTCCGAGACACCCAATCGCACTCCGCCGCCGGGGACAAGGAAGCGCCAGGAAGATGGAGCTACATACTGCGGCAGCATTGCGTAGCTATCGGGAAGCTTAGCAATTGCGCTGTAGAACCTCTGGCTAGCACCGGCACAACCGAACACTCGGCGGCAAGCACCACGACAAGTGCAATTGACGCCGAACATGCAAGACGACATCATGAAACCAAATTATCGACTAACACGTTATTGTTGTCGTCACCGTAGGCCACCACCGTCCGCTCCGTCAAGTCCCTCATCCCCCTCCTTGACCGCGTCCTCGTCCAGCGCGTCAAGGCTGAGGCCAAGACTGCCTCCGGCATCTTCCTTCCCGAGTCCTCCGTTAAGGACCTCAACGAGGCCAAGGTCCTCGCTGTTGGCCCCGGTGCCCTCGACAAGGACGGCAAGCGTCTCCCCATGGGCGTCAACGCTGGCGACCGCGTCCTTATCCCTCAGGTACGTTAAAGGGCCACCAATGAGCTACATACAATGCCGATGCAGAGCAGACGGGCGGTTACAGATTGAAGTTATCTGTCCGTAACACCCGGATGCAACGCATGCATGCATAGGCTTTTGTATAAAGAGGGAAGAAGAGAGGAATATGGATGCTAATGCGCTCTTTAACAGTACGGCGGTTCCCCTGTCAAGGTTGGCGAGGAGGAGTACACCCTCTTCCGCGATAGCGAGTAAGTTGCACCACACACCACAGATCCTGTCCCTGATTGGAGGGGGGAGGGAAACTATTCCCGGCCGGCCTATGCAAACGTACAGGAAGAGCCGGTTACTGACAAATGTCTCTTCGATAGGATCCTTGCCAAGATCGCCGAGTAAACCTCGTTGACCCAGCATAAAACCCAAAAAGCAAAATATAAAGGATACCCTCTCATGATTCTTATAACTATCAAAAGTGTACCAATATGTAATGTACCAATAGAAACCAGCATTGAACAACAGCTAAACGGACAGATTGGCATACTTGACACGAAAACGTGGGCATGAGGTGGTGGTGCTCGGCATTTATCGCTTGATAATGGTTTGGTTATTGGAAATGGCACCTCATCTCATCCTTGAGACAGTTAACTTGAACCGAGAGGAAAGATGTCGGGATGCCAGTCGTCTTCAATCGACTCCTCACATCACAGTTCGTCCGAATGTCCGGTTCAGAATACGATATCCTCACCCGATCTCCAGTTTCAAATCAAACAAACATGTGTCCCTCACTTCTCCGGTCTCGGTCCTCGGTTCGCGTCTTATAATCCTTGGTGCTGCCGGTTTGGTGGGGTTCAGACATCAAAAACTAGACGAGACGAGACGAGATGTGGCTGATACATACTTCTACTGTTATCCATGGAACAACGAGCAAGCGAGCTGTTGTGGGTTGGTCAAGAAGAAATACCTGTTAACACGAGCGTCTCCTGTCCCATACATCTGTCTCGTTCAATTCGTGCCTGACACCATCAGACAAGCAAAGAGAACGGACATACATAGACAGCGTGTAGCATGTTACCGCAAGCGGGCAGGGCCGGTGAGCGCTGTGCCGGCGGTAGGCGTGATTTGGTTCCTGATCTTACCCCAGTGGAATCCGAATGGCAAGGGACGGGAGGAAAAAGTTGAAGAGTGAGCCAACACCAACACGGAACCAAGACCAACATAGGAAATCAACAATGGCGCCACTTCAGCAGCAAGCAGTCAGTGAGTCACACATTCACGCCGAGACTCCTGCGATGCAGCTCTCAGACGGAGTTCCAGTCTGTCGTTTCTCCTCAAACGGAAACGGCGCGTGTTAAAAGTGAGAGGGGACGACTGAAAAACAGCAGAGATGAGAGAAACAGCAGAGACCCGAAAAACGACTCACATAACAATTGGAGACGAGTCAAAACAAAACAAATCCGGGTCCAGCTCCCGTTCGATGGTGCTTAACTCACTTGCACTTTACGAGACTTTTTTTTGTTTTTGTCAATTGTACTAAAACATATGCACCCTAAAGTCAAAATCCCTCCTCTTTTCACGTTTGTCTAGGAGCATGTGCATCTATCCGCCATGTTCGGAATTTCCAAGATGAATGTTTGGCTACATTATAAATTCGTGTTGCTTACTTACCCAGTGACCGGATCAACCCCCGGTTCATTATGAAACATTAAGCCATCTTAGCCTCCCATGCCTTCCTAGGCTCCCCATGTGGCTTTATGATAATCTTATGTCGATCACCTATCGCCTACTTTGGTATCAATTATCGTTCAGGCTTACTTCTGGGAGATGTCGATCAAGATTGATCTAGGTGTTTCGAAGCGAGCACCTTACTTTACTTCTCCTCACCCAAGAACGAGAAAGCCAATATCTGGAGGTAGGTAGGTATGTACACTACGTTGGTGATTTTTATCCCTCATCCACACATAAGCAGGGTCTCTGCGGTAGAGATTGCCTCCTGTGTGAAAGAGCAAACCGCATGATTGGGAATATTGGACAATCTATACCTTGTAGGGTAGCAACCAACGTGTAATGTCTTTCTTTATCTCCCTTTCGCGCTCGCACACGCCCGCGCGCACCCATCTGCGCTTCCGAGCATATTGGGTTCGCATTTTCTTCATTTCCTCTTCATGCTGTGCTTCGCATCTGTCTCTCTCTGCCTGTTTGCGGCGTCACAAATGTCGTGGACCCCGAGACTCACTCGCAATCCTGGCGAACTTGGCGGAGCTGGCAGGCACAGTTCAGCCTCTGTGCCTCTGTGCCTCTTGTTGTTTCCATCCCCGAAAGCGATTTGCTTGTTTTGGTGATCTCATCATCTTTCGCTTGGTGTTTGCTTTTGCCCCCGATCCACACCAGGTCCATTTTGGAGAGTCAGTTTCGACATTGGTCACTCGCTCGCAGATAAAGAAATCAGAGACGGATATACCGAGGGACAGAGCGACAGAGGGGCAGAGGGGTAGAGGGGTCGGGGAGATAGGTAGAGGCAAGACACAATACATAAGGAAAGCTATCGAGAGGCCTCATGCCTGTCATTCGATTAGATCGTCATTCCTCCACACAGTAAATGCAAGGCACCAGAGAAAAAAAAGAATGTTTCGAAACACAGACGGCGCGAACTCCCATGGCGCCGAGGGGGGTCCTTTAATAAGCGCCGCTCCAATGTCTCCTCCTCCGCGGCTACAACCAAAGATTTGGTCTAATTCCAGCGAACCAACGGGATGGTCAGGAAGGCTCGTTTGGGATGTCCGACCCCATGGATCTCCAGTTGGATGAAACACTGACGGCTTTTCTTGGCAGACATTTCCCCGGTGGCGGACAGCGCCATTCCCAGGCGGCTGCCAGGGCAAAAAGTGGAAGCAGGGGGTTTTCCAACACGGCAGCGCCGAATGACAGGGGAGACCCATTCACACACTCTTAGGTACGAGCGGAAGGGAATGCAACTGAGATCGACAGCAGAGTGGCAGCAGCAGCATTGTTCGCTTCTTCCCCTGGCGATAGCTAAGCTTCCATTTCCTTTCCCTTTCCACTCTCACCCCAGCTTTCCTCGTATCAGCTTCCCCTCTTCATCATTTTCGCTCGCGAACAAAAAAGAACTCAAATTTAGCTCCACATCACATCGTACTGCGTTCTGCTGACCGTGCTGCTCGTTTCGTCGGGTGGGCATCCCGCGTCGCCAAGTTCCCCCGATTCAGCTCACTGGACCGCTGGAGCACTAGAGAAAATGTGGGTGACATGACATACATATGTATGTCACGACATCACGGCACCAGTTAAGCCAAGGGGTAAAAGCAGAAAAACGGATGAGAGAGGGGAGAAACCAACAGCCTCGCTTCTATTCTCATGCCGTATCGTGAGACTAGTCGTAAACAGGTCTCGTTTTCCCTTTTGAAGGCATCACAAAGCAGTTCTAACCGACCTCTCCAGTCACTGTTGCGTGAGTACCTCTTAGACGCGGGGGAGGGGCGGTCATACGTCAGGTCAGGAGAACTGACTCGTCGGGCTTCTTTGAGATCAAGGCAAAGATGGCTTCCATTCACAGTCCAGACTCCCTCAATCCGTTGATCAGTCGGACATGCCTCTATCACATCGTCACAACCGAAACGCCGACACCCGGATAACCATATTGCCCCCTACATGCCTATCATAACCCCTATTCCCCATATTCCACAGGGAACACAACAGTCACTTTCTGAGGCCCTGTTCCTTGCGTCATGGATGATCCGGGTCTGAAGCTTGCTTGCAAAGCTCCGCCGTTTGTATCTCCTTCCTCATATCGTCTCTTTTGCCCGAGGAGGAGCGAGCGTTTGCTTCGTGTTGTGAGGGTCTCGAGGGCTTGGTTGGTCAAGGTATCACGGGTCATTCAAGGGTACCCTACCTCGACGAGACCAGGGACCGGAGGAGGCTTGTCTTGCCTTACAAGCTTACCTCTCCAACTGAACCTTACCAGTCGACGAGGGGGGGCCAGCCGCCGCCCGAGGACGCTAGACAGGTAGGGGTAGGTTTTAGGGTAGCACTGTCAGGTACAGTGCAGTAGAAGGTCGGATAGCACTCGGTACCCTGCATCCCTGACCTAATCTTCATTGCTTGTTGTAAGTGGGTGTGGGGTTTCCCATTCTGTATATATCCCTTCCGAGTTCCCTTCTATTCTCTTGACCCTTTCCTGTTACTTAGCCCATCCTTTAAGTGCCAGAGCTTGGTGTTTTCCTCCCCCTTCCTTCCTTTGGAGCCTCAGCTTTTGCAGAAACAGACTCGAGGTCTGTGATCCGGTCTTTTCTCTCCCTACCTTCCTTCATACACGTATCTCCAAAACACCACGTTGAAATAAACTGGTGATTCATTCTGGGTATCGCTTGCCCATTCCCTCCTTATACACACATAACGGCATAAAGGTCATTTGACTTTTTTCCTCGAAAGCATCGACTTCACTTTTTGTGGCTGGCCGCATATCGACACTCTCAAAACATACTATCAGCCATCATGCGCTCCACCACTGTCCTCGCCGGTCTGGCGACGGTCCTTGCCCCGTTGGCTTCTGCCCACACTGTCCTCACAACTGTTTTCGTCAACGACAAGAACCAAGGAGATGGTACTGGCGTCCGTATGCCCATGGATGGCAACATCGCCAACGCCCCCGTTATTAACATGAACAGCGATGACATGATCTGTGGTGAGTCTTGGATCCTTTCCCACTCATGCCTGCTGCTCAAAGACACTCACACATCAAACAGGCAGAGACGGCCTCAAGAAGGTCAACTACGCCATCCCCGCCACCGCTGGCTCCAAGATGACCTTTGAATTCCGCACCTACGTCGACGGCAGTAGGCCCGGCTTCATCGACGAGTCGCACCAGGGTCCCATTTCCGTCTACGCCAAGGCTGTCTCGGACTTTGACCAAAGCCCCGGCGGCTCCGGCTGGTTCAAGATCTGGCATGACGGGTACGACGAGTCCACCAAGAAGTGGGCGGTGCAGAAGGTCATCGACACCAACGGTCTCCTCAGCATCAGCTTGCCCACGGGGATGCCCACGGGCGCCTACCTGTTGCGCACCGAGGTGATCGCCATGCAAAACGTCACCACCAAGGCCGACGGCAACTGGTACTGCGAGCCGCAGTTCTACGTCAACTGCGCCCAGGTTTACGTCCAAGGCTCCTCGTCTGGCCCTCTCTCTATCCCCACGGACAAGGAAACCTCCATCCCCGGCCACGTCCACCCCTCCGACAAGGGTCTCAACTTCAACATGTACGACATGAAGGGTCTTCTTCCCTACCAGATCCCCGGCCCCGTGCCCTTCCGCCCTACCACTTCCTCTTCCGGCTCCAACGCAAAGGCCGCCCTTACCACGCCCACCAACTTCTCTGGCGCCGTCCCCGACAACTGCCTCCTCAAGAACGCCAACTGGTGCGGCTTCGAGGTACCCGACTACACCAACGAAGACGGATGCTGGGCTTCTGCGGACAACTGCTGGGCCCAGAGCAAGAAGTGCTTCGAGTCTGCCCCACCCTCGGGTATCAAGGGATGCAAGATCTGGGAACAGGAGAAGTGCCAGGCGCTTGCGAACTCGTGTGATGCGAAGCAGTTCACCGGTCCCCCGAACAAGGGCAAGAGGTGGGGAGATGTGACGGAGCAGTCGAGCGTCCAGGTCCCCGGGGTGATGAAGGGTGCGGATTTGGTGGACGATCCTGTCGACACCACCAGCAATGAAAAGGCCAACAACAACGTCGTCAGCATCCCCGCAGCCACAGCTACTACCTTCATCACCACCTCTTCCGCCGCTTCCAAGCCTGTCACCACTGTCCCTTCTATCGCCATCACCACCACCACCGCTGCTGTTGCCATTCCTACTGAGACTGCTGCCCAAAACACACTCATCAGGTGTGGCAGGGGTGACAAGAACCAGAGGCGGGCAATGCACATTAACAGGCATAAGCGCGCGGATTTCTAAGCAGTAGCCTGTTTTCTTTCTTTTTTCTTTCTTTGGCTGGCCGGCTGGCTGGCATGGTTGCTTTGATGATCTCTTTGATATAGTGGGCTAGGTGGCTAGCCCCCCAAAAGCAACCTTTCGCTTCTTTACCGTCCTTTATGATTTGACACAGTTTATCTTCACTTCTTCTATCTTTTGCATTTTGGACTAGGGAAACTTTCTTTTATTTCGGCTGGGGTTGCTGGTATAAACACTTGAAAGACTTGAAAGATGAGCTTGAGGTACTTGCCTCTTGGCTCAGCTGACATTGCATGTTCAATCTATTTTTGGACACGGGATAGATGGAACAAAAACGTCTGGGTAGAAGGAAATGTTATAAGACAAACGGCATGAATGATTCAATGCTGCCCATTTGGGCATCTTGTTGGGGCATCTTGTTGAAAAAATGAAAGCTATTTCTCTAATCTGTCTCTTCCCATATCTTGATGCATGAATCTACAACGCTGTTTCTGACAACGTCTAGACGAGGTGATGCAATGATGACCACGTATGACCCGCTTCCTCTCTCTATATGCTAGTAGCTGTGTAAAGTTGCAGCCCGCCATAATCTGACACATTAACCTCCAGTGTCGTGAAACACAAGATCAAGACTACCAAACAACCCGCACAAATACAAAGTTAAGCCAGCTATCCGGGTGCTCCTCTATCCATTGAGCCACCATAAATCTTTCCTCATGAGACTCCACAGTCCTTATTCCAGAGACTAAGAAAGCAGCTTCATAATATCAGCCATCCTCGTCTCCTTGACCTTCTTCTTACCATCTTGCTTTTCCTGGAAAGCCTTGCCAACCAACTCTCTCTTCTCCTTCTGAATATCAAGCACACGTTCTTCAATTGAATTGTCCATTACCAGCCTCCACACTGTCGTCGGCCTGGTTTGACCAAGCCGATGGACTCGGTCGACAGCTTGATCCTCGATGGCTGGTGCCCACCAGCTGTCAGCAAGAATGACAGTGTCAGCTGAAACCAAATTCAAGCCCACGCTGCACACGCCCAAGCTAGCGAGCAAGATACGCGTGTTGGGGTCGTAGTCTAGGGCGCGGATGGCGGCGTCGCGCTGGGCGGCGTTCATGCTGCCGTCGATCCGGGTGTAAGTGTACCCGGCTTCGTCTAGCTGGTGTTGGATGATGGTGAGGAAGGAGGTCCATTGACTGAAGATAATAATTTTGGAACCCTCCTTATCCAGGGTGCCTTTGACAAGCGCCAACACAGCTTCGGTCTTGGAGCTCTTGGTCTCAGATTCAAGTTCCTCTTCGTCCTGAGTGGCCGAGTGCTCGGGCGCTGGTTCAAGAAGTTTGTCTTCCGAGAGGGGAGCGCGGCACATGGGGCACTTTTGCTGCACTTCAATGACCTTGTCAATACAACCTCGACAAAAGACGTGCTTGCAATGTGTGATGATCGGGTTGCTCAGCGGGTCAATGCAGATAGGACACTCTTCTTGACTCTCGATGTAGAGTTGAAGTGCCTGTTGCAGAATGGCGCGGTTTTCATCGGTGAGATCAACCACATCTTTGTCTGCGAGAAGCTCGAGAACTTCTGTGATGCGCTTCTTGCACAACACCCAGTGATTGCAACTAGAGTCTGGTTAGCATCTTCACTGTGCTCAACACCTTGGGATACCTACGTTTGTCGAAGCCTTAGCAGTCTCTCCAGGACACCCTGAAATTGTCCCTGTGAGCGCTTCGACTGCGTCCGGTAGTTTTCCAGAACGCCCTGTGCCTCAGACCTGATTCATGTGTTAGCTCACTAGCATTGTGAAGATTAGAAGATGTGGAGGAGCTTACAGTAAAGCATCGTACTTCTTCTGCTCATCGGGCCAGAAGGTGATGCGAGAAATATGTTCTGTCTTCTCCGGAAGCTTCAAATCAACAAACTTCATATCCTTCTTTCTGCGAATGCAGAGATCTTTCATTAAACTTTTCAACAGAGCTTCACCCTTGGGCTCCCCGTTGGCAAGTGGCCTTGTGAGAACAGTGTTGAAGATTTCTGACTGTTCAATTCCGCCTGTTATGCGGAGAAACTTGAGTAACGAATGGAGATCACGAATCGTGTTGATTCTACGTAGAGAGTCTTGTCAGTACTGCACGTAAACATTGTTGATTGTCCAACTCACATTGGCGTTCCGCTAAGTACCCATCTGGACTTGGCTTCCAATTTGCAAGCATTCTGAGCTACTTGGGCTTTGGCATTACGAATGCTATATCACTTTTGTTAGCATTGTACGTAGGGTACCCAGACCATGCATTGTTTGACCCACCTGTGTCCTTCGTCAAGAACCACTCTTCTCCAGCGAGTCTTTACTAGAGCGTCATCGGACAAGGTTCCGTAGCTGGTAATCACCACATTTTGGTCTTGGAGCGTTTTGGCAAATTCTTTGCGTTTACTTCCATGATATATGACGATCTTTGGCTGATGTTCCTCGTGAACATGGCGTCTGATCTGCTGCTTCCAGTTGCTCATCACACCAACGGGGGCGACGATGAGGGTAGGGCCAGTACCCAGGCCTTCGGTCATGATGAGGCTGATGATCTGGATAGTTTTGCCGAGGCCCATGTCATCGGCACATATGGCGCCTGACATTAGCTGTGGGGGAGACTTGTTATAGAAGCCTGTTGCCATGTTGTAGTACCGGCCGTCGGCGGTATGCTGCCAGAGCTGTACTGAGTCGGTAGACCCCTTTGCAGGCATTGTAGGGTTCTCTTTAGAGATCATCCAAGCAAGGCCTTGAAGCTGATAGGGAAGCAACTTTGCGCGCAACTTTTCGGGCTGGGAAGCCATTGGAAGGTTGGCCAGGTCCTCCTCACTCATGGCGAGTGACTTGATCATATCACCGCCGGAGCGGAAGTTAGTGACCTCGCTCATCTTGGCCAACTGTTCCATTGTAACTTGGGGCTCCGGCTCTTGCGTTTGGCTAGGGAAGCCATAGGTACCATTGCCCCTGAGTTCAAGTGTCCGTTTCTTTCTCTGCTCCTCATTTGCTTTGCGTGTTTGGTTGAGTTGGGTGGCTTTGACGAGTTTGTCCTTTTTCAGCCGTTCCTCGAGCCTGGCTCGTTGAAGTGGCGCGCTCGTGCCATAGAAATAGAGTCGAACGGGGCAGTCGTAGAATTCTTTCTCTCCAGTAAGCATGCCCTCAACTACAAGGTCGCCGTTGTCCTGGATTGGATTAGAAATGGAAATGGCTGAAGTGAATCGAGGGGTATACATACCATGTAAGGGGCTAGCTTAGCAGCAACGGTCCTCGGGATATGACCTATCTGTGTGCCCAACACGTTATCTACACGAATAGCATTGGGGTCGTACTGGTTCTGTGGTTCTCTCTTGCAGACAACCACTTCACCGGGAGAGGCTACGCCGTTGTAGTATCGCACACCGACAATCTTGCCATCTATCTTGAATTAGCGTGGGAAGTAGGCAGCAGTCGGAGGTATGGTATACGAACCGAAATGTCCATAGAATTCGAGGACAGGGCCAGGATCGGCCTGGGTAAGGTCAATGACCTCGGCTTCATCGTCCGACTCGAGTATGTCGGGCTGGGTGCTGAGCCAGTTCAGGGTGTCATGGATGGCCTGCACATGTTCCGGAGGACGATGCTGCGAGCTCGGAGTTGCTTGGCTGCTACGTGCTGAGAGAGTGCTTGTTGCTCCCTGGGTGTTGTGCCTGCTCTGGGCACCCTGTGTGCCTGGTGGCGTTTGCCAAGGTAGTTGCCGTCGTCCGGAGCTTGTTTGGCTCGACGAAGAGAGGCCATTGGTGCTGGTAGACTGTGGGACATACTGTGATTGAGAGGGCCCCGAGGACGAGCTATCAGCGTTCAATCGACGGCGACGTGCTTCATCTCGGCGATCGGAAGCAGCCGCTCCGACGCCAGAAGTGTAGGGCCGCTTTGGCATTGTTGCTCAAGGTTGGCAGGATACGTATCGAAATGCCTTTGAGGATACCAGAATGTTGTGGTTTCCACTTGTGGAAGGAAAGTTCCGATAAAGAAGAGAAAATTCGAGCCCCTCCTTCTACACTTTTCCAAACTCGCAGACGCAACACAACTAAAAGTTGGAGAATGGGTTAGGTTGGAAATCAACCCTTACCTTCACATGTCGGTGCGAGTCGGAGGTTCGAGACACCGATGGATTTCCCCACACGGGAGAGAACGAACGCGGAATCCTTGTCGCTGTAATGCGAACTCACGTGATGCACCATAGGATTGTGTGCCTTCCATTCGGTCAAGGGGGTGATGAGATAAGAGACTAATAAAGTAGGGAATGACGTCACTCCCAAGTGGTTGAATAACTTCTGTCCTCAGTTGTTGACGAAGAGCAAACTCGGGGAGATTTTGGAACTAAACTTTTGATTAAAAGATATTCGGAAGGTTTTAGGGATGGAATAACTTGAGGTATAATATGAGACATGCCATTGGGCGCATACGCAACTCAAAGGAAGGACATACAGTCTGATGCTGGTTTGTTTGTCAGCTTTCCATGGCACGCAACATACTCGAAGTACTATACCATACTCTGTACACTAGACGAAATCTATCCCGAACAGTCCCAAACCTCGCGAGGACAAATCAGAATAGCTAACACCAATAATAAAAGGTATTAGTCGGAATTGATATGGCCTTTTAACATCAGAAATAGCATATCCAAGATGGGATCACGCATTAGTTAGCTACGAAAACGCATACGAGAGTTGACACGAGGTCTCGAACTAACAACCAAACCAGTACTGGACTGTACAAGATAAGCAGTTATCCACAGAGTGAAGAACACGATAATATAAAAGGGCACGACGACAAACGTGATGTTACACGTAGCATGTTTCTTTGAAGATATATATACTGTCATAGGACTCCGTGTTCCTGATCATTACGCTGTGTCCAGAGAAGAGCAGAAGCATATCAGACTTTACCAACTCGTAAACGTACAATACATCATGATGAAAGTGTACAATAGAACCAAAGAACTTCCAGCATCATGACCACATTGAAACCTCTCGATACAGTGAGCAGCTTTCCATGCGCTGCATATCACAGCGAACTTGAGAACGTGTGCCATCCACCGATACCAAGACCATCATATCCGTCATATACACATTGATGCGCCCCGAACGCCGCCGAGAAAAAAAAAAGAAGAAAAAAAAAAAAAAAAAAAAAAGAAAAAAAAAAAAAAAAAAAAAGGCAACGCGTATATCAGGATCGTTTCTAACCGTCACTGTGAAGATGGAACAAAGCGCAATTGTTAGCCTCCATTGACTCTCTCGCGGGTGTGAAATGTTCGTTGTTGATAATTGTCATAAGGGGGGAAGAACTTGGACTCGAGCACAAAACCCAAGCCACCCACACAACTGAAAGAAGGGAATATTAAGAAAGGGAAAAAGAAAAGGGATTCACCTACAGCAGGGCCAGCGTTAAATCACCATGAATGTGTGCCTTCAACTCGATTTCCACCTCTAAATTGAGGTCTAATCTCAGCCTGAGTGGGTTCTTGCCTCCATTGCCACCGCCGCCTTGCTGCATCTGCTGTTGTTGTTGTTGTTGCTGCATCAACATCATCTGGTTTTGCTGTTTCTGCTGCTGCAGCGCTTGCCTCTGGCGGTACGACTTTGGCTCTTCTTCTTCGGAATCCTCTTGGTCGGCGAAGCGGGGACGGCGACGGCGACGAGGCCTTTCAGCGACCTCCTGGTTGCGGTTCTTCTTCTTCCTCTTGTTTTCGTCGCGCATGAACTTGGGCTGCGGAGCTTCCTCGTCCTTGGGCGTGGAAGGCTGAGATTCCGAGGAAGACTCTTCAATGGTAGCGGCGTGCTTTTTAGCCCTGCCACCTGCTTTCTCTTCCTCTTCCTCTTCCTCTGCCTCGGAATCGTTTTCAGACCTGTCGTCGTCATCATCATCATCATCATCTTTCTGTTCGTTATTATCCCTCTCATTGTTATCGTCGTTCTGCTTCTCATCATCGTCGTTGTCATTCTTTTTGACGTTGCTGATCTCTGGATTGGGACCCGTTGTTCCATCCTGGGTTTGTTCCGTGTGTTCATCCTTCTTCTCCGCAGCTTCTGGCTTTGGGGCCTGGTCGTTGTTGTTTGGTGTCTGGGCGATGTTAGTTGCCAGCGTCGACCTCAAACCGGGAATACACTCACAGGATCCATCTTCTTTCCTGGTAATGTGTAGAGGTATTTCCTGCGCAAGGTTGCTATGGTGTCACAAAGACAGATGGGAAAGGAAAGAGAGATGTTTTGACTTTACAAATGAGTTTCTAGAGAACAGCTAGAACAGGAGACCAAAGAGTAGGTATTGAAAAGGTTAATACAGGTTTAAAGGACAGGACGCATATTTGGTATCCAACCTTGCCAATAATTCCGGATAGAGGTAATGTGCACAAGGCAGCCCAAGATCATCAACAGGGTCACAGCGCGAAAGAACGGAGCAAAAGTCGAGGACCCTGATGCAATCAACTCATGTCATCATACCTTGAAGACTGAAACAGAAACACATGGCTTCCCACCATGAGACCACCACATGCAGGTAGGTAGCTCTCCATCCACTAATCCACTGCGCGACGAAGCTGACCTACCCCAGTTCCCCCAGAGTGACGACATGGGGAGCCGTTTCCCAAGACCTAAAGGATGTAATGCCATCCCAAAAAAAAACGGAGCATAATACCCGTTCTCTTGCATAAACCACACGCCCACCTGCTGCGTGTCTGATAAAGCCCTTGCACATCAGACGAAGTCGTCGCATTAGGTTCTGTCGCGGGGATAAGCGAGCTATGACGTCGAACCGACCTAAAGAGCGGATCTTATTTGGAGATCAAGCTTTTGGAGGGTGGGATCGCGAACGTTACGTGCATTGAGATGACATCGAGGCGACAGGGGGACGGGGGGTGTGGATACAACATAACAGCTACAGCTACAGCTAGGGACGCATCGCCAGGCACGAAACAGTTTGTTTCAAGAAGAGAAAGAAACGGATGCACGCTAACTGTGGGTAATTATAGTATATCATGGTGTCTCTAAGTGGAAGGAAGCACCTGGTAAAACTACATACGGTACCCAAAACATTCAACCAAAGCGAACTACTACCACATTTTTTGTTCCAAGACCCAAGAGACACTCGTTGTTGACAACTCGATCAAGTAAACCCCAGCTACGGAATCAAGGAGACATGGTTATCGGCCTTCTGATCATTGCGGGAATTCCCACAACAATAGGCGTCTGCGAAGCCTTGAGTGCGCAGAAAAAAGCCAATAACGCATCTAAAGAGAAAGCCAAGTTCCAGTTGACAGCCTCTATATCCCTCGATGGAGGACCGTCGGAAGAGTGTTTTTGTGTGTTGAGAGATGGAAGAGTAAGTTTGGTTTCCATTACCATTCAGCTGTCATCCAGACTTCAGATGGAGAAGCGATGAATGACATCAGCCCCCCCCCCCCATTTCCTGCACCCCCCACCATATGATAATACCCTTTGGCTTACACGTCTGACAGTTATGGATCGACCATCCCGACTATCCCATGCCAGGCCATAGGTTTATGGGGTACTACTTCACATACCCCTCTGAAGAGAAGCACCTGGGCATGGTGAGCACGATAGCAGACGATCCGCCCATGCTAAACTGGATTTATTGCGATAAGGACACTGGCATGGTTAATCACGGCGGCCGTCAAGCTACCATTGGGCATACCATCGGTCCTTGGTACTGGAGCGATGACGAGACGTGGCTGACGCTCGAAGGGGACACCTTACAGTTTGTTGCTGTTCAAGACGAGGAAACCCAGAGATGGTGCGTTTACTGGGACAAGGATAGGAAGATCAGGGGATCAAGCGGTAGTTATGCTGGAGAGGAAGAGTATTCAGACGAGGAATCAGAGGGAGAATCGGAAGAGTCAGAAGCGGAAGATGATTCTGAGTTCAGCGGCAGTGAAACCGGGGAACCAAGAAAGCCCATAAAGACATTTGAAAAGGAACCCAAAAAGGAAGCTGGGAAGAACGAAGGCCAGCAAACCGGAGGTGGAGACACCGAGGGGAAGAAGACAGAGGTGAAAACGGAGGACAAGCAGGATGATGGTGGGGAAGCTCCTCCTGCTCTGCCGCAAGTACAGAAGCCTGTGAAATGGGTTCCGATCCTGCTGCGTCGTCGAATGCAGTTGGGGATGGAAAGCCGATACGTCAAGGGCGCCAATGGCTAGGAACATAAACGTATTGGTATGGATCATGCAGGGATAATACAAGAATTGTAATGTGATGAGATGGTGGGCTCACTGCATAAGATCGCGATATCATGGAATGAAGGGTACCTAGCGGTGATAGGGCCCGGAAATTGTCATCAATGCTGATATTAATCGGGTTTTTGACGACCAGGGTGGCTTGGCCCGGTCTTGTCACATTTATGCAACCCTGATAGCAAGAAAACGAAAACTGGATTCTAACTCGGTCCTGTCTCCGCTGATGTTCACCTCATGGCTAAGAAGCCGACCAACTAGGAGAGAGAAGGGGGGGATGGCTGCACAAGGCACCCAACAGCCGACTTGAACAGCACAAATGATGGGAAATTCCTGGCGCATACTACATGCAGTTCCGTATGGTGGACTTGCATAGCATAGGCATGCGTGACGGGAATGGGGTGTTGCAACGTCCTCGCCACTAAACAGGAGGTAGCCTCACCGGACAACGGGATCTCGATGACTTCATTGTTGAAGCTCGGTTCCCATGGGCCCTGTGTTAGTTTTACCACTCTTTGGACCACACCTCAAGATACCTTATTTTAAATAAAGGCTTGCTCCTTTTTCAGTATTTGAGACGTTCCGAGAAAGTTCATAATTTTTTCTTGAAAAGACAACAGTTCTTGACACCGACCAAATTTCGTACTCTTTCTTCGGATCTACATCTACCAAACACCGCCAACATGTCCACCCAAAGCGGCTCTGACACGAGCAAGAAGTCTAAGCGTCAGCCAAAGAAGCAGGCGCAAACCTACGAATCCGAGTCCGAATCCGAGGACTACGCCCCCCCTCCCCGGCGTAAGCGCGGCAAGAAGCAGGGCCCTCTCGACTCGCTCGCCCTCGACAACGTTAATAACACGGTCGGCGGTCTCACCCAAGGCGTTACGGGCGCGTTGGGTGGCGTCGCGGGCGGTGCTGTCCAGAATCACCAACAAGGTGGTGGTGGTGGTGGTGGTGGGAAGTCCGACACCTTGAGGCTTAGACTCGACCTCAATCTCGACGTTGAAATAACGCTCAAAGCAAAGATCCATGGGGACCTGGAGCTGGCTCTGTTGTGAGTATCTGGTCTTCTTTCATTGTCTTCGTGCTCTTTTCCGTGGTGTTGCAATTCTGCGAATAACTTCAACCCCCCCCACACCCCACCCCACCCACCCATTTGGCTTTTGACCTGCACAGAAAGAACACCTCTTGGCTTTTGGATGACAGCGATGAGAGAGTTCGTTTCAGGCATGTTGCTTTTGTTGCGTGCGTTGAAACTTTTCCCTCCATCTGCGATTTCCAAATGACCAACGCCAGGGGATTATTCTCAGTCTTTGATCACGTCACCCTCTACCTACCTACCTCTACCTATCCATGAAACCGTTCAACCCCTGTTTCTTGCCTTGGGCTAAAGGTCGATGTAGAGAAACTTGAGTTCATGTCTTGAAAGGGGCGCCTCAACCCCGCCAAACAAGACACAGAACTGGTTCACGCGCAGAACCAAAACCCAGACATCACTTTGTCTTCTGTTGTACGATTATGGCGCCCGAATGAAAGGAGAAGGAGAAGGAGAAGGACGGGAGTGTCCTGCATGGCGCAACTTTCATCAACACCGTTCGACGCCAAGAAGCAAGAGAAAGCAGAAAATGGTTACTGAAACATGGGACTAATTCTTTAGGAACTGAAGCAACTAGTTTCCCCCGGTCCAGTACCCTGCCGTTCCCCGTTTGAAATGGCGGCAGCGGAAAAAGCTTCTTTTGATTGGGAATAGGTGGAGTTTTTCGGATTGGATTGGAATCAGAATTGGGATACGGATTCGGCTTAAGATTGGTAATGATCATGAAGAGTTCATGAAAGGGAAAGACGGGACAGAGAAGGAAGTTCTTTGCTTCTTCTCACACATTGTCAAAGGAGTTTAACGGCATTCTGTGGTTCTGGTTTCGATTCTTTGGGGGCTGTACAATTTTATGATTCTTCTCTTCAAGCGCTATACATAATGCCTACCTATAAGTTGCGGGAGTTTGATTGAACTTGGAACATAGTATTCTGTCGTTCCGCTATCATGGCTGTTGCTGCTTTGTTGAGAGAGCGTTGTCCATCACGATAATTCTCCCACCTCCTGGTCGCCGAACGAGACATGAATTTGACGCCCGATCACGTCAAGAACAATAGCCATTGTGCAACGCGATCCTGCTAATTCCGTGTAATCACAACTCAAGTCAGGGTGACGGATCTCTGAACCTCCCAGGCCAGCACCCGTGACATGGGAGGAATGCCACCGCTGCTGTGTCACCTAACCCGGCTCGTCCGAGACAAAATAAGTGAGACTAACCAACAGGCTAAGGTAAACCAGTCTACTACTACTCGTTGAGATTAAAGAAAAGGCCGTTGCAAAACTATGAGAGGGATTACAATAATTCGAAAAGACATCGGCTAGAGTCCTATTTGTATATTTTCATTTAGAAATTGCCTAGAACTTCAAACCAGAGGTGTTACAAAGACCTTGGATGCGTAGTAGGAGTATACCCAAGGTATAATGTCAAAGGTCTCGACTGTTTTGTCTACGACGAGCCCGGCCCGAAGGTGCGCCAAGACATCGTTGCACTAACACTTGGACTAAATCGAGGGAACCACGGGGCAGCAAGGACCCGCATCGACATTCCAACTGCCCGCTGCAGTTACCCATCCGACTTCTCACCTCCACTTGCTTCGTTGCCCTTTGTCTTGGTTTTTATTCTCCGCAAACCCTGAACGTCACATCGTGGGATCTGATCTCAGGATTTATTTCCCGAAGTGAAACCTTCCGGTCCTTGTTCTTCACTAGGGCGTTTCATCCAGGAGAATGGAAGCGGCAGAAACCTGTTTCTTGCTGCTCGCCAAGGTGGGCCACAACACTATCTTCCGGACATCTACCTTCCGGGCATCGTGTTGATATCTGTTAATCGCTGACTTTTGTCTATGGAACTCCAACAGTATCACGCGCTTGTCTAGTTGGTATAACGAAAGGAAACAAGATGTATCAGAGTAATTTCTCACAGTCAAGGCCCTGATCACATTGTGATTAGACCGAGCCGTCCCTGAATCAGGAAGAGAGATACACCTTCCAACGGGCACCTCACCAAGCACTAACACATTCGATCTGACTGGCCAGCTGAATTATCTCCAAGGCGGAATCAGCTAGAAGATGTCCACACCAACCACTATCTACCTTGACAACAACAGTGGCATGTGATGTCATGATCTTGGTCAAGCAAGGCAGCGCGTCCTTCGTCTAACGCAACCATCGTACCATATACCCCTCCATCATGTCCCTTCGCATCCAAGGAACTATGGCATGTACGTTCATTCAGTCACAGACCTCTTCTCGCAGCCAACCTTTGAATTCGTACAGCCCAGTAGACGACGACGACACACAAATCAACGGACACGGACACCACGGACGGCGCGCGCACGTACAGTACGGTACACGTTTGGGCTGCTGCGCCTCACCATTTTTCGCTGCTTCACCGGCCTGCAGTCTTGACCCCTCTTCAAGTTCGAAGCCACCTTGCCATTGCCTTGTCACGTTTGGGTGCGGGCGCGGGCTTGGGCTTGGGCGTGGCTGACAGTGGTGACTAATTGCCTTTGTTGTTTTCGAAACTCGGACCGCTGGATGCTCTATCTGCTGCTGTTAATGCCCGTTACTACCGAGATACCCACATCCACACAAAATATACTACAAACCACGCACAACCACTAGCGGAAGAGGCGTGCCTAGCATCTACAACTGCCTTGGCCCACGACTTAATCCTGGTGGAGGTTTGCTTGTGCGGCAGCCCGCTTTGTAGATACCTCGTCCAGCTCGGAAAACAGTCTCCTAAACAAGCTGGCTTGGTCCAGGAAGAACAAGTTCCTAGGTCAGCTACACCGTAGCATGACCTCGAAATTCTCGTCTCCGTCGGATCGCGACAGTTCCGCCGGTGGCGACCAGCAAGCTGCTTTTTCCTCGTCCTCCGCTCGGCAGAGCAGGAACGGGGCGGCTTCCCATATTGGGCGTCCCAGACCTTCTACAACTACTTCCCGCGGCGGCTTCGCCAGCGATGAACGGTCGACACGAGATGGGATGACCGACTACGTGTATGAAGAAGACGCCGACGAGAAAGCAGAAGAAGCACGACACGGCAGCAAAAGTGGAAGCGATGTTGAGATTGAAGATATCACGGACGCGCCGCGATCACCACCAGCAAATTACTCACGACCACGGCCAGCGCAATCACCACAATCGACACCAAACATTGACAAGTCACCAGAAAGGCCACCACCTCCACCACCAAAACACCAAAAGAAGACCCTGCCCGGAGACCCAGCTTATGTTGCACCCATAGGCAAAATTGGGCCAATAGGGAGCACCCCCAAAATCGCTTCCCGCAGCAACAGCGAAAAGGGCGGCATCTCCGTCTCTCCCTCCTCGCGCCCCCAACTCCCTCCCTACATCGGTTCCTACCTCAAAGGCAAAACCGTTGACGAATACGGGGATATCATCGATCCCCGAACAGGTACAATCCTCGCTCACGCCGGAGGCGATTTACCTTCGATTGTGGGCAGGCAAGTGTCCAACGACCAGGGGGATATCTTGGGGGATGAGGGGGAGTTGCTTGGATATGTGGCTGATGTTGAGGTTGGGAAGAAGACTGCTTCTCCCGAGGAAGCAGCACCAAAACCGATGATGAGTCTTGCAGAGATTATGAGCAGAAACAACACGGCGTTGATGGTGGATCATGACGGCAATATTTTGGACGCGCAGGGGAATGTGGTGGGAAAGTTTTTGGATCATAACAATCCTGTGCATAGGGAGAGGCAAGAAAAGGAGGAGGATCAGAAAGGAGAGGGGAAGGGGAAGGGGAGGGGGAGAGAGGAGGAAAGGGGGGTACCTGTGCCACACTATGAAGAGGCTGACAAGGATGAGAAAGAGGGAGCTGCCGAGGAAGAGCCGCAACGTGAACAATCAAGACCACCGAGGAGAACGGAAGAAGAGAGGAGGGCCAACGCGGCTGCGTGGAGAAAGGAGAATCCGGGGGAGAGCCCCTCGGACATCTTTCTGGATGTCAAGTCGACGACGGAGGGGATTCAGTTGACGATTAGGATCCCCACTGTGTTTGGGAATGGCCAGCAGTTGAAGCCAAACATTTCGTTTTCTTGAGCAGCATTGTATGGGCTACTTTGTCAAAAATGGGATTAGAGCGGGCGTTATGGGAGTTTGAAAGACTGATTGATGTAATGGTCAAAGGGGGAACAGAAGCACCAAAAGTTAGCAGTACCTGTACATGCGGCAACTTTACGAATAGTCACAGCACCGAACATGGCGTTAGTCAAGGTAGGTAGAGGCATGTAAACTCAAGTAGAATCAACGTATATTAGTGGGGCCATGGCAACGACGGGCGTTCCCCCTTTCAGCTCCAGCTTCTTCAGATCTCCTTCCAGAAAGAGAGAAGCGCCCGCTCTGCCAGTGTGAGCGCGGGAAAGACTTCTCACAATATTGGACCCTGAGCAGGAAAAGCGGGCAAACTGGGACGACGGAGAGAGCCAAGAAATGGAATCAAGATCGTACACTAGGGGGAAAGAAGCAAGCGAGACCAAGTTTCCCGAATCCCTCCCATAAGTCACCCACTCAACCACTCAGCTCTTTCCCCCATCCACCCAAACCAAGAACACCCCGATAAATCCTGTTTTCTGGAACATGTAAGAAACGGGGCTAGTGTACACAGAAAACGTTGAAACTCCGGTCCGGGGAATAATGATGGAGTAACGGCCCGAAATCGAAGAGATCGACCTCTGTCTCCGCTTGTGCCTTGATGGGGTGACATGACGTTTTCCCCAGCACCGGTGATGTGGGTTGCGTAAGCTTTTCAACTTGACGCACTTGCATCATTCCATCCATGCCTACCTGCCTGTCCTGTCGCTCGTACCTAGGTGCGCCTCTCTAGCGTCTCGGGCATAAAACAAGATGTGGCCCAGTTCCAACAATTGGATTATATGGTACGATATGTGTCGATCTTCTTTTCGAGCAAGGAAAAGAATATGTACACCATACTAGTGCAAGACCGTCCGAAAGACGGTGGGATGGTGATAGTGGCGAAGAAAAGCGGAACCTAATCGTGGACAGGATCAGAACCTAAATCTGAGTACACGTGTACCTGAAAAGACGAAAGACAAGAAAACGTGGAACTGAAACCTTATGAAAACGTGGGGGGGCGTGGAGATATCGAAACCATGACTTACACTAGTAAATTCTCCGAAATCAGGGTTACCTCACCTTGCTTATTATTGTTAGGATGTCTCACCTGCAGTGTACAACGACAACGGCAACGGCTGGATAGATACCGAGAGCCAAGGTACTCTGAACAACGACACGGCTTTTTGATAGAGCTGATATCCCGGAGTTCGACTTTGCCACAATGATAGAAGAGCTTCAAGCCACACTTTAAGTGAAACCGGCCTCGACAACAACGGAGGTAATGATGATGATATAAGTGTATACTCGCATGTATTAGTTGTTGCCCATAATCCAATAAGAGCTCTAGGACGGTACTTCACTGCCCTTGTCTAACTCACAAAGCCGCTGATATCCTCACGGACATGTGTAACCTACCGCCATGGTTGATCCCGGACATTTTCCCAAGTGTCTAGAATTAAGTGTCTATGCGAGAGGTGCATGTTCCGTTATGACTCCGCTCCGTCATCCCGTCCGTCATATGCCACGAATGAGAACACAATGGATAAACCCATTTCATCAGCCCATGAAGGTAGAGTGAGGATGAATTGTTTGGATAGGTTGAACAAGAACTTACCTGGAGGTAGCCCATGAAGTCATTCCATGTACGCCGCGGCGCGGTTAGACCATGTCTAGGTTGTCAGGTTCTCGAAACTATCTGCTCTTCCTTCCTTTGTCATGCGAGGCCGCTTCAGCGATTCTATTTCCTTCCGCTGCCTAAGTACAGACTTTATCGACATCTCGGAAGACGATGGTGAAAGTCGATCACTCCAGTGCAGTTCAATGATGATCTTGCCTCCCTCGTCCGATCTTGACATGCAAAGAAAAAAAAAGTCACATTCTCGCCTTTCATACGGTCTTGCCCTTTATGCCTTTCCTTTTGTAGAAGGTCGATAGGCAGGAATGACCACCGTTGCCAACATGCCAGTCATGCTTTCGAAAGGAAGGAGGCAACTTGCCATTCACCTTGTACTGTCACTGGGTATCGTTCTTCCCACCATGCCATGAATGATGCTTCTCTGATGATGCTTTTCTTGCTCGCTCGAGCCATCCATGTCTTTCAATCCTTGGATTTCACTTCAAGTTGTTACCTGAGCTTTGAGCCTTTCGCGAACGATGCCGTACCTACATCACAGCCAGTGGAATTATCTCATTGGATGTTTCGTCCACCACTTACACCACTTTTCTTCACTTGACATACTTGAATGGGCACTTGATGTTGGCCATGTGGCGTTCACCATATCTTACGACGCTTCCGAGTGGCTCCCAAAAGTGAATGCGTGTGGAGGGATGGTGCTTGTCTTTAACGTAAACCGGGGAGGTCCTGTGTAGTGTGAGGTGAAGAAAGCAACAGGAGGGGAAAGGACTGGGAACCTGACTCGAGAAATCACCTTGAAACCCAAAAGACTGCTCCGTGACGTAACTCGTCAAACCGCAATGACGTCCAGAATATCCGTCGTAAACCCAACTTTCTACTTACTGCAACACATAGTACTGACGCAGGGACTAAGGGACGTAACGTGACAAGAAAGCATAAAGGTCTCACTGTCCACCTGTGGTTCCGTCGTCTGGGATATCTCAATTCTCGGAATAGCTTCACAACACTTGATCAACAATAAACGTTTACTTTTACCAATTGCGAGTTCAATAATAGCAAGAACACTATTACACTCAATAAACTTACTCTAGAAACCCGCCTGGCCACAACCTGACTTCATCCCCCA